GCCGCACAACAAGCGGCCACACCGGACAGCCCCACACTGGACTCTGACTGGGAACCCCGACCGCGACTAAACACGGACGGCTCTGAGGCAAACATCACAGACGTTCGATCTCAAGCAGGCGTTTCTTTCCATGTGCTGGCAGCCACCATTGGTATCAGAGGTTTTGAAGCGCTTGAAGCGCAGCCGTTTTCTTTCACTCCGCATGACGTGAAGCCTCCCCCCCCTCGCTCAGAACATCCCCCTCCCCCTGTGGGCGAGCGGGGGGCGCGCCTCGAGTGCGGCTTACGTCGCAGACGATGACCAGGTCCATGCCGTCCCAGGACGTGCATCACGTACACCAGGTAGGGCGAGAGCGGGCGAGCGGGCTGGCCGTCAGGAAACACAGCACCTCTCGGATGGCGGCGGTCGGCTGGCGCGGCCCGGCCTCCGCATCGTCGGACGGGCCGCCTTCGGCTGCCGGGACAGCGACCCGCCACGCCACATCAGCTCGCGCACCTGACGCCGCCACCATGCCGTGTGCGCGGGTACTTTGCCACAAGCAGATGTGTCGTGCCCAGGTGGCGAGACAAGTTGTCATCGCCGAGCGCAAAGAGTCACACGACAGGCGACGAAAATGGACCCCGCTGAGCGTCGGTGAGTGTAAACACGCGCCAAACACGCCGTGAGTGACAGACATGCACTACATCCTGCATCTGCCAGCCAGAGCCGGTCAGGCGCGCTGATGTTTTTGAGGTGACGCACCTGATCGAGCGGCGATCATCCACTCATCAGCCACAGCGACGTGCTGACACGTGGCAGGTAGCTTTTGCTTCGCAATTTGAAACGACATGAGGTCGAAATTATTAGCGTCGTATACCGAAACACACGTACAGTTGAGCTAACGTATTCGCATCGCAGCCGGCAGCAAGAAGCTCTTGCCACTTTCAGGTTTTTCACTGGTTTCAGCCTTGCCAAATCCGGCATAAACTGGCATAAACTCCGAAAGTGATACCGCTTAGCCTGCGCCCAGGAAACCGGAAGCATGGGGTTTGATTCGCTGCGGTGCCCACAGGGCGAGGGACAGGTGACGCCATACAGTCTCAGCAGCTGAGGGCGTTGTAAACCGCCAACGACACCGCTGAGGCCACAGACGAACCTGCTCGCTCCACAGTCGTCCGCCGCTAGCAGCTGTTCGCGGGCGCCCATCTCAGGTGAGAGTGCCGCACAAGCGGCGTGGAGGACTGAGGCGCCAATGACCTCAGTAGCCGCCCACATTGCCAATGTTCTAGAGAATAAACGTCTGCCATTCTTTTACATGACGGAAGACATAGACAAGAGGCGAAGCAGGCTGGACACCAGAGCGCCCCACCCCTCCAGCCCGAGGCCGGACCCACCATCGTCAGTAGGCGCGTCGCTGGGCTTCAGGGCGTTGACCAGCAGCAGCAGGTGGAGAAACGACGCCGGTGACAGTTCGGCCACCTGGCGGCCCGAGTACAGGCTCACCAGCGTGCTGTCCACGGCCAGGAAGGCGTGGGCGCGCGGCCCCGACGGCAGACCGGTCACCACCCGCTGCAACACAGGGACCAGTCACCACTCACTACCACATGAACCAGTCACCACCTGCTGCAACGCAGGGGTAGGCCACCACTCGCTACCACATGAACCAGTCATCACCTGCTGCAACACAGGGACCAGTCACCACTCCGCTACCACATGAACCAGTCACCACCTGCTGCAACGCAGGGGTAGGTCACCACCCGCTTCAACGCGGACCAGTCACCACCCGCTGCAACACAGGGACCATTCACCACCCGCTTCAACACAAGGGTCCAGTCACCACTCGCTACCACATGAACCAGAAACCACCTGCTGCAACAGAGGGGCAGGTCACCACCCACTGCAACACAAGAAACAGGTCACCACCCACTGCAACACAGGGACTCGTCACTTGCCAACAAAGCATCACAAGCCATCCAACACAGGAGACAAAACTTACAGGCATGCCACTTTGGACTGCATCACTGAAGCCCACAGCACTGGCGACTGATAAACTGCACAAATAGCGCATCACTGATAAAGTGGGTCATCTCAGCAGCATTGCTCATCACAAGGACCAATAACCAGCAGCTGCCACGCCTGAAACACAAGGCGCAGAGGTGGGGACAGGCCAGACTCTCCTTGCCGGAACAGCCAATCAGACCCGCCTCCCAGCATCCCCGCCGTCCTCCCAGTCCGAGCGGCGCGGCACTGAGCCCCGCCACCGGCGCGGCCGGCCCCGGCGCCAGCAGCGCCGCCTCTGGCCGCGCCGGCCGAACAGGCGGCGCCGCTGTCGCCGCCCGCACCTGCAGCACGGAGACCATCTTGTTCTGGACGTCGTCGCCGATGATGAGCCGCTCCACGGCCTCCACGTGGTAGGCCTGGCTGCTGCGCTGCAGCTCGCAGTAGGAGGTGAGCATGTCGGCCAGCTGGCGCGAGAGCGAGGCGTCGCTCGACTTGAGTCTGCCAGCAGATAATGGGCATCAGCAGAGGCCTGGGCTCTTGGCACGGACGGCCCCCGGGGCGCCAGCGTTCCAAATAACATCTATTTGAGTGTGCAGGGTGTAAATATAAACACATTCTATAAGAATCTGGCTCCGCGGCGTCCCTTACGCGCGCAACACTTCATTGGCTGCTAAATATGTTGTTCTCTGACCCCAAGCTCTGACACATGACCTGTCCGGCCGAACTTCAAAGCCCGTGGCGCCCAGATGAGAGGCTGGCCGCCGTCCGGCTCAACACTGATCGGCCAGTCTTCAGTAAGGGGAGGAGCAACAGGCAGTGGCCGCCCAGCCGGACACGATGGCACGGACAAAATATCGATATTCCTGCCATCCAAGTGGCTACATTTTGCCACAATGATGCCCAAACAGGCTGTGCGCTAGCCGTTTAGAAGCTTACAATTTAACGCTTAGAAGATGAATCACGGCGAAAAAATGTGACAATCATAGGCCACTCCGTCTTTTTTCAATGCCACCTTTTGTGACGAAATATTGCAAAAACGTCACAGTGGCGGCGCTCAGCACCACCACCGTATCGCCGATCCGCTCCCGCTCTCGTCCGTCTCATGGGACGGCATACGTTATCACGGTTCGGCTCTCCCCCTCAGCCGACGGCGTGTAACAGTACTCACCTGGTCAGAACAGGCCCGCAGAGCAGCTTGGCGAGGCTGACCGCCACCGAGATGTACTTCCTCGGCGAGAGGCTGGAGTGCTGGCCCAGGCACAGGAACTGGTACGTCAGGTACTGCCGGAAGAGTCGATATGCGGGCATGCTCAGAGTGGTGAGCAGCTGAACAGCTCTCTCGAAGAGAGGGTTTAATATAAAGTCTCGTTTCCTTGTCTGGCTTCTGTCACATCACCTTAGTAGATACTGCTCGCGCAATGGTAAATTTAATGATATATTTATAACAATATATTTTGTGCAACCAGCTTATTTGTATTCCACGGTAGATTTTGACAATAGCACAACTTTTGCCGTACAGCCTTCGTAAGAACATAATGAATTCCCTACATCAACGTCCCAGCATTGCCCATACCAAGAGCCATAGTTTGACTTCAAAAGCCTATCAGACGAAGATGCACGAGGGTTACTAATAAATTTGACCTGCAGCATTTGCAAAGTACACTCTTTGCAAGGCGCATACGATAAATCAACATTTCGCAACCGTGCAGCGTGTTTCTCACATGTTACTTGCTGGTCCAGCATTACAGTATTGGCACCAGGAGCGCAGCTCTACGGGGGGTGGCAGAGCCCACACGACGTTTCCACTTTAGATGATTCCCGACAGAAGTTTTTTCATCGGCGTAATGCGTTTATCACCATGCCCCCCCCCCCCCCCCGGGCTTCCTTCGGAGATCCCGGCTGCGCCCCTGATCCGAACCATTATCACACCAATGCCTGTGGTCCTGCTATTATCACAGCTATTATCCTGCTATTATCACTCAACATATTTTTTGTGCACAGGATCCACACAGCGACAGCGAAACATACACAAAGCAGCAGCAACTATATGCACAGATTAGCTGAGGCCACATATCTGACCGAGGCACCGCGGCGCCATCGCTCCTACCCTACGAGTGAGCCCGCTACACCCTCACCCGCTAAGACCGCTGGCACGGCACCACACCACGCACCTTTGTCCTGCTCTCGCTCATTTTGGCGCTCATCCTTTCAGCGCTTTCAGGGCGCCAGCTTTCGACAAACCCGGTTTGGCATTGGTAAGTTTGTTAGTTGCCGTCCTACGCATACAGATGCCACCCTTTACCCCTCCCTCCATTGTCACCCTTCCATTCAGTTTCTCTGCAGATGGACTCGTGTTAGAACAGACAGCGGCGTGCCCACCTCAGAGAACACCATGAGCAGGCCGTTCTCGCACTCGATGCAGCTGTACGGGTCGTGGAACTCCAGGCCCATGATGCGTTGCGAGGCGAGGAACGGCGAAAACAGCTGCACCAGCACGTCGGCCCGCTCGCTGCGCGTCTCCGGCACCTGACAGACGGTAGACGGTCAGCGCGTGGCATGCTGAGGCATAGCACGGCTGCACACGGGGGCGGGGTAGCACAGCGACAGTACATAAGAGCGGGGTGGAACAGCGGCAGCACACGGGCGGGGGTGGCACGGCGGCAGCACACAGGGGCCACAGGGGCAGGGGTGGCACAGCGGCATCACACAGGGGCGGGGATGGAACAGCGGCATTACACAGGGACCGGGCAGCACGATAGTACGCAGGGGCGGTGGCACGGTGGCAGTGCACAGGGGTGGGGGTGGAACAGCAGCAATACAGAGGGGCAGGGGTGGCACAACGACGATAAGCAAGGGTAGGGTGGCACACTGGCAGTAAAACAGGCATACTGATGGCACTGACCGTCTCAGACCAGGCCGGGTAGAAGAGACTGTTGCGGGCCGACATGCCGCGGATGTGCTGCTCAAACAGCTCATCGCCGTGCGAGAACACCACATCGTTCAGCCGGTCGAAGATGATGACGCCGAGCATGGTTGCAGCAGCCAAAACGAGACAGATGGAGCACTGTGTCTGAAATTGGGAGCAATCAATAGCCTAAATGTAAAACGGAATTCCACTTTTCAATGTTATTAACCTTCCCCAATCTGCAAAATATGACTGAGGTTAACACGCATCCGGATGGCCGGGTAGATACCCTTTGCTCGGGTGGGGGGGGGGGGGGGCACTTTGAACCCCCCCCCTGAGATCTCAGGAACTAAGAAAGCTAGGGACACTAAATTTACAGGGTGTGTTGACCTGCATGTGAACTTACTTAGGTCAAAGTTTTAGGTTCCTAGGTTATGACTTTCAGATCAAATAGGTCAAACGAGGTCAGTTCCAGGTTAGTCTCCAAAGTGCTCCCAGAACCCAGATAAGCATTCTAAGCAAAGGTCACATTCTCACTAAAGGTGAGTGACCTTTTTGACCTTTTAAAGGTCAAGGTGACCAAAATCATACATGATTGCTCTGCATTTTGCACTTGACTAAGTGACAAAGATTACACCAGGCAGTATGTTCCTAAAACAAAATGTTGACCTGGGTCATTCTAGGTTAATGACCTATTCTGACCTTTAAGAAGTCCAGGTAAGATGCATAATGCAATTCCTGCTATCAATAAACTCAGAATGAGCACCAGAAACTATCCCATACAGCAAGCTCTAGAGTAACAAAACAGGTTGGTTTTAACCTTGGTGTGACATTCATACCTGACCTTAGGCCGATGAAATTTGCTCATTCAATTGTTGTGTTGCCCAAGAAAGCATCTCAGATGTATGGCTTCATCTAACACTCTGTTGTTGGATCAGATTGAAGGATTACCTAGAAACTGCCTTGGCTGAAACCATGGCCTGACTTTAACCTGCCATAGGCCAGTGACCTTACGAGGTAATCTAAATTTTGCAAGTCAAATGATCCATTATTTAATTGTCTATAGCTATGCAAAATTTTGTGTGTGTGCGCCGCACCGTTCGGAAACCATTCTGGAAAGCCTTAAACCTACTTGTCATAAACATACAAGAGACACTGTAAGTGCTGAGCAAGATATTTGTCAGTCAAGCAGGACACCAATAACATGTAACTTTCAATAAGTGATAGTAAGTCAGGCAAACAGCATTGGAAAATATATATATATATATATATATATATATAGCAATGTCAAAAGTGGTCATAAATCATGCTTACACCCCACCACCATACCCACATATTCATGTTTTTTTGTGTTTATATGATCAAAGCCAAGTAGGACAAATAAAAATCATAGCTTGTTCTAGTGCCAAAAACATCCTGTTACATGCCCAGGCAATGTTGGAAAAATTACTTTTTCCTGGTAAAATGTATGCCACAAGATTTTGTATTCCAAGATTGTGACCAGGTACAATGAAACATTTTGCCTGGGTACAGCACTGTCTGGGTACAGCAAAAACTCACTTAACACATGCCTGAGTTGGGGTCAAGTTGACCACCCCCCTGAAGGTTTTCCAGAAAGTTTCAGAATGGCACAGTGTGGACATGCCAGATTTTGCATAGCTGTAGACAACTGAATAGTGGATTATTTGGTATTGAAAATTTAGATGTACCCTGTAAGGTTGCTGAATTACAGCAGGTCAAAGTCAAGCTATGGATTATGCTAAGTCAACTTCTAGGAAATCATTCAACCTGATGCAGCAACAGAGTGATAGATGAAGCCACACATCTCTGAGATAGTTCACTTGGCAACACAATAAATGAATGCACAAATTGTTTTGAAGGTTGGACCACGGCCAACATTTATCTCTTTTATCACTCCCAGGCTTGCTGTCTTGGGGTAGTTTCTGGGGCTCACTTCCAATTCATTAATAACAGAAACTGTATTGCAATCTTCCATGAATTTCTCAATGATCAGCATAGGTCACTGACCCAAAATGACCCAGCTCAACATTTTGTTTTTAGGAACTATCATATCAACCTATCATAATCTTTATTGATTACTCAAGTCCAAAACTCAAAGCAGTCTTGTATCATTCTGGTCACCATTATATTGAAAAGGTGAAACAAGGTCACCAACCCCCAAATAAGCATGGGACCCTTTGCTTAGAATAGTTGTCTGGGTTCTGGGAGCACTCTGGAGATCAACCCAGTTATTGACATTGACCTTATTTGACCCAAAGGTTGCAACCTTAATATATTAAACTTCAACCTAAGTGAGTTCAGCATGGGCCAACACATGCTGTAAATTTGGTGTCACTAGCCCCCTTCATTCCTGAGATCTCAGGTGGTCAAATCCCCCCCCCCCCCCCCCATCTGAGCGAAGGGCATCCAACCAGCCATCCGGGTGCGTGTTAGGCAACACAGCATGACATAAACAGCCATCACCTGCACCACATCACATACCTAAACCTTCATCCCAGGTAGCCTTTGCTCAGTTGTGCGTTGTCACCGTACTTAGATATATGACCAGGGATGGGAAGAAACCTACCGCACCATAGGGTGCCGTACATTTATACGCAGTGCGTGGCGTGTGTAGGGCCCGGCACCTACTTTTATCAGGCAGGGTGCCCACAAACCCACCTCACCTATCTACGAGACACCACCTCGCAACACAACACTCAAGAGCTCCGACGCAAGGCGACATTTCGATGTTACGCAATCCATGCCGACATATAAACAAGGCGATGCAGCCCGTTCAGATGTTGTGTACCAATCGCGCATTAAATGTAGTCAACTACAGTGCTACCAAATATTTCAGTTTTAGTTCAGTCAAACAAGATAAGATGGGTTCGCTAGGCGCTGTGACAAATATGATGGGCGCTGAAAGCACCGTGGGTGTCGAGCGATCTGCGCCGCCAGTGCGTGGTCTCACACGGTGCCTCCCCCCCCCCCACATGACCTATGATCCACAGCGCAAGAATGAGGCATGAATTTGAATTCCTGCCTAGGCGACCTCACAGCGTTTCCTTACACCACAGGCGCAACGGTGGCTTTCAAATGGTCGCACCAAACCTCCGAATGCCCTTCCGCTTTTCTAACAGTAAATCAATAGCACTGTCCTCTCAATTGTGCCAGCACCAATTCAGAATGTAGCGAGATGAGCATACATTGTATTAAGTGCAGTCTAAATGATGCGCTTTGTCGCCAACAGGTACAAAATATACATGAGCGTTGCACGGGGATAACTTGCCGCGAGATCTGTACAGTGACGCCCGTCTCGCATTCCACGCCCACACTTCCGGAGATCACGGCCTCGGTCAGCAGCTGCTGCCACCGCCATCAGCGACCACGAGCCGCGCAAAGATCGTCCGCACAGGCAGCGATCAGCTCTGCGCAGATCACTGATCGCGCGACGTGGCCAGCGGCTCGCAGATGCGGGTCACACGGGCGCAGCCGGCGGCACTTTTAACAGCACACCCGTGACAACGTAAGAATATCGACCGGCACTGGAAGGCACATAGAGATCACTGGATGAGCGACCACGTTCTGGCCCAACCGAAGGCTGCTAGGAACCCGGTCTCTTTTTTAGATGGCCTCCACGCATTAAAGTAACTTATATCCGCACACACGTTCAGATTGAAGTGAGACAGCAATGCACCATAGAAAAACATCCCTACGCACTATGACATTAGGTCAAAACTTCAAAATACAGTTATTCACGCAGCATATAACGTCCATGTATCTATCACCTGCACACCCAAAACCAACCAACAGTGTACAATAGCTGAACGTTCAGTTCGTATCCTGAGGATCGGACGACAACAGTAAGGAACTACACGATGCAGAAGTTGCAAAAGTGCAGAGCGGCGTGCTTCATTTTCACCCTTCTTTCGCCAGCCCAAGGCCGTCTCTTCACAGCACCGGTCATAAGAGCACGAGACGCCAGGAACCATTGGGGCTTCAACGACAAGCCGCCCCCGGTCTGCACTCACAGCAGCCGCCGATACACGTGGTGCACCCAAAACCCAGCCCTCAGGAAAAGACAAGGCCCACACGGCCCCAACTTCACGACAGGTGACCGCACGACACAGGCAGCTGCCGCTTGTAGCTGCGTGACGCTCCGGCGTCGCGCAGGAGCGCCGTTATACAGGCGAGCCTACCGCCGGCGGAGCTCCCGTCCACAGAAGTCCAGCGACGGTCAGTCTCAGGCGCCTGTGCCATCAGCAGGGGTCAGCCAGCGCCTGTCCCATCAGCAGGGGTGTACCCGTCATCGCGTCCCGGGGACGGATACCGACCAGTCTCACGTGTTCGCCCACCTCACACCTCACACGTCCTTCGGCGCGGCCCTGCGAGATGACGAAACGAAACCTCAGGCGGCGGTGCGGCCCACGGCACCTGTCTGGGGCGCCGACGGCCCTGCGAGGAGTGGACCCACACGCACAGAGGCTGCCCAGTCGGCAGCGCGCCGCCTGGACTGGCGCACCAACCGCGATCAGATGCCGAGCCCGTCGTAAGCGGGCAGCACCGGCGGCGTGGCTGGCTCGGCGGACTCTCCGTGCTCGGCGGCGGCGAACAGGCCGCTGTCGGGGGCGGCCAGCTCCACGGCGCCGGCCATTTCCCGGAACACCTCCCCCGTCTCCGTCTGGTAGAGCGCCGCGCCATCCTCGGCCAGCGTCTTGTACACGGTGACGCCCGTCTCGGTGCGGTACACCTCCAGCGGCCAGGCCAGCGCCTCCTGCACGTCCGTCACCGGCATCACGTTCACCATGTAGTAGCGGTCGTCGCCGGCGGCCGGCGGCGGCACGGACGGCGCCGCGGGCACCTCGTGCGTCTCGTGCACTTTCGCGTGGTCGCGCAGATTCTCGCTGCGGCTGAAGGCCTTGCCGCAAGCGGCGCAAACGTACGGCTTCTCGCCGGTATGCAGGCGGGCGTGGCGCGCCAGGATCTTGGCCAAGGTGAACGTCATGCCGCACACGTCGCAGGAGAAGGGCCTCTCCCCGGTGTGCACGCGCCGGTGGTCGCGCAGCTGGCAGTGCTCTCGGAACGTCTTGCCGCACTGCTCGCAGCAGAACTGGCGCTCGCCGCGATGGCCGCGCTGGTGCTTGTAAAAGTTGGAGACCGTGGCGAAGCCCTTACCACAGTCGTCGCACTTGTAGGGCTTCTCGCCCGAGTGGAAGCGCTTGTGGATGTTGAGGTAATAGGCCTGCTTGAAGGTCTTGCCGCACTGCTCGCAGCAGAACGGCTTGTCGGTCGAGTGCACGCGCTTGTGCACGCACAGGTAGGACTGCTGCGCGAACGCGCGGCCGCAGTCGTCGCACTTGAACGGCTTGTCTCCCGAGTGCAGGCGCCGGTGATTGGTCAGCGTCGAAAGCAGCGCGAACTGGCGGCCGCATACGTCACAGCCGTGCGGCTTCTCGCCCGTGTGCGTGCGCGCGTGTATCTTGATGCTCGCCAGGTACTGGAACTGCTTGTGGCAGAGCACGCACTGATAGGGGCTAGGACCGTCCACGCGCCGCCACAGCGCCGGGTCCGGCTGGCGCGCGCGCGCCGGCCGCGACTGCTTCGCCGCGCCTCGCGCACTCGGAGCCTGCGGGACAGCCGAGAGTGAGGTGAAGAGTCGAGCACACGGCGATAGAAACACAACGAACAGTTCACGATACCCAGTCAAACGTGGTAACATGGAAAAAGACGCATGTGCGGCGAATGCCAGCAGTAATTAAACAAAAGCTATTGCAAACGTGGTGACTGCTGTCGGCAATATTCTATTCCAATGTGTACACAATAATACATGTAATTCGATAAGCAATGCACTAATATACAATTCACACACACTCATTACCCACCACAAGCAAAGGACCTGCGCTAACACGAACGCCAAACGGAAAACCCATGACAAGGGATGTCACATAAGCAAGATCGGATACATGCGATTGAGTATGCTTTCAAACAAGATGATGGCACAGGATCACTGGATGCATCATTTGCGACCAATCCGTATACAGGAGCTTTCATTACCTTAGCTTTTTCGGTGTGCTTTGATGCCATCTCCACGTCACCCTCTACCTTCACGGCGATACCGCCTCCGGGCACGCGGCACTCTGCGAACATGGGACATCAGCAAGAAGCACGACGGGCATACAGCGAACGTCAAGAGTACCAGGAAAACAGCCCAGCATGGAAACAATCTGTAGCCCTGATCAGCCTGAGCGGGTCAGACCATTCGGCCGACATCATGGTTCATGACTCACGATCCGTTTTGGATAATCAACCAAGATTCCTGCTGGGTAATTATCCATGGTTCCTGCCAGATAATCGTACATGCTTTGATGAAACATTTTGTGCTTCGATCTATGCTCTGCTGTTCCAACCGAAAGATGATTCTCTATTCATCATTTTCCAATGCGCTCTAAGTTACGTTTACTGTAATCTAGCTACTTTCGATACACAATCATGTCGGTCTCATGCTTTTGATCCCTTCCGTTACATACTATTCGGATCCGGGGTTGATCTGCATAAATAATTGGTAAATGAGCGAGCAGAGGGCCTTGGCAATCTAACTTTCCCCAAATGTGTTTCTAACGGCTCTCCACTGACACTTCTTTGTAGACTTTGGTAAACCCACTAGTCGGCGGTGGCCCCTACTGCCTGAGGTCGAAAACCGTTGACCTTGGCCCGTGTCATCGTCTTAAACTAGAGACTGTGAGACATTAGGTGTTTTCATGTATTGGGTTCCTGCCTTTAGTGTGTCATTGCGGTGCACTCAGCTGCTGACGCATCTAGTGTCGCTTGCGTTTCACCCCGACAGGGAGAGCGGGTACCGCGGCGAAGTGGATCCGGTGCCTCCTATTTGCCTCCCGGAGGTACAGCTTAGCCCCTTCACTACCAGTGCCCTTATGTGTAACAATATATTAGGTGTTGCAGTAAACTAGAGGTCTTGATGCATTAGGTGTTCTGATACATTACACGTTTTGATGCATTAATGTTTTGATGCATAACTGGTTAGACACTAGAGATCACGAAACATCACTCAACGCTCGGGTCGCGCCGTCAACCGGATCGTACCGCTGAACGTGCCGCCGGGTCCTGGCGCCTGGTGCTGGTCGGTCGGCTCCCGCGGCCGGTCCGTCTCGGCGGCGTCGGGCTGTTCGGCAGCCGGTGCCGGTCCCACCCCGGCAGAGGCGTCCCGGGACGGCGCCTCGCCGCTGGGCAGGTCCGCAGTGGCAGCCACTCCAACGCCCCCTGCATCGCCCGGGAGCTCCCCTGCAGCCGGCGGCGGCGGCTCCGTCGAGCCGCAGGTGTTCGCCTTCTCATCAGGCGGGCAGGCGCCGCCCAGCGCCTCTTCCCCCGCCGCCTCGTCTTCTGCGGCGGGCGCCTCTGCCTCCTCGCCGTGGCCCGCCGCCGGCCGCCGGCCGCGACTGCGCGCGCTCTGGTCGAGGGCGCGCCGCAGCTGGCGGCGCAGTCCGTCGGCGCGCGACTGCAGCTCGTCCAGCTCGTGGACGAGGCGCGAGCAGGCGAGGCAGAGCACGGCCTGGCGCGGCGGCGGCGTGCCCGCCAGCTCGCCCAGCAGGCCGCTGAACGGACGCCGCGAGAGCCGCGCGGTCAGCTGGCGGACGCTGCGGTGCGGCGGCGACCAGACGGCGTCGCAAACCAGGCAGGCCGGCCCGGCCGGCGCCATGCTCGTACTCGCCACTGCGCTGCCCTGCCACCACATGGAGAGGAAACACTAAACACTGATGCCATGTGGGCACACCGAATATTGCATGGCATGATAATAGTGCAATCTATGGTAACATAGTAGATTGAGTATGGCTTTTGTTCTAAGTATTGCTTATGATGAATGATGATGTTCAAGATTTCATACATAGATCAGTGGGTGGGCATACTGTGTGTAATTAAGGGAAAGATGCTGCAAATACCAGTCGAACCAACTAGTATTTGCAACATACTGGTACTTATTTTAATATCAGAAGACTAACATAAGCTGTGTCATAATATCTTATAAAAGGGTTTACATAAACTTACATGAATAATTGACCTGCAAAAAACATAACACAAGCACTCTGTGCCAAGAACTGACATACTTATTATAATTTTGCTGAAAGGCAACTTACCTCACACATCAAGAGCAGCTTATGCTGTTTAATGAAAATTAAAAATTGTTACACACAAAATCTTGCAGTATTATGTCATTCTTCAGTGTCAACCTGGCAATAATAATGAAGACATTAGATAACCTGAGATTTTTAATGATGCAAGAGAACACAAGTTTTGCACCCTTCATACAAAACTTATAACATCTTAACATACCATTATTCAACATTCTAATGACTTGGGCCAATGGAGAGGCCTTCACCAATGCCAATCTCCCACACACCTAAATTCTCCATCATCAAAACATGGAAAAACCAATATTAATCAAGTGCAAACCACCACTTACCTCATCATGCAGTTGTGCCATGGACATGGTGTGCTCATATGATACATATAATTACTAGTGAAGTTTGATCGCAATGGCAAGGGACCATCTTCTTGAATGGGTCACATGCTGATCCAATAATGACAAAACTAAGTTATTCATGTTAATTCATCACAGACTGCTTCAGTTAGGACGACCTACTGATACCTTTGAGAAAATGGACAACCACGATAGTTTGAGAACTCTTTACATGTAAAACAAATTACCTGAAGAAACAGGACTTACAAAAAAGAACAACTGTGCTACCCATAGCCCAGTTAACAAAGTGCCACATGCTTGTATGATGTACCATGCTCCAAATTCAGAAAGGGTCAAAATGTGCATAATTTTCAAGTATTTAATTGACTTGCACACCGCATATCACTTGCACACCACAACAGTTTTTTAATACATTGCCTATTCGCACACTGAAATTTGTGGTGACCACATCCCAGACTCAAGGCTCTTGAATTTAGAGCATACATGGTCCAAGCCTGTGGCCAGGATGTCACTGCTATGCTGAAGATGTTCAACATAACATGCATTTTTGGGGCCTGGCCAATGACAGACATCAAAATCTGATAACCTGTTTGATAAATATGATGTTATACACACCCCTTCCCACCTCAACAAAACACCTGCACCGGCAGCAAAGGAGATAACTTAGCTTTAAAATTTGACAACTTATCACATCTGATAATTCTGATGTTCTAAGCACACTTCTCCACCTTACCAAACAAACGCATCAGATGCACAACAGATCAGGCATGTACCTCTGTGTTATCAACACACAGCTATCCGCGTAGACACGGCTAAAAAGCCACACGCGGCACCAAAACCGTATCAGAGATTATCACCAATTCACCACCTGTTGCGACAAAGCATGTGTGCCCTGTCCCCTTTGCCCTACGCTACACAGATGGCCTGAGGGCATCATATTTGCCTCTCGCCATTCACTTTAGCATCAGAACTCTCCGACGGTCCACTTCTTCTTTTTATGTCAGTCCTCGGGACGCGAGGCGGCGAGTTCGGACTGCATGCGGAGTTTGCCGCCGTCGGTTTCGCACCAACTTTCCCGTGCGTGCAATAAATCAAAATGTGTAGTTAACGCCGTGAGTGTGTGAGTATTAAAATAACCATAGAATATTTTCATTCCGCACAAATAAATTATTAATCTTTGAAGCCCGCACCAAATATTAAACATCGTAGCGATTTTGCTGTTTTTCCCTGCGCTGCAAACTTCCCATTTTTCGTGTCGATACTCTCCAACTTAATCGGACACTGAACATCTGACCAGGGTGGAGCCTATTGTATTCGCGAAATGCATTACAATCGATCAAAAATACGCACAATAAGGCGGCTGGCCTGTAAATTGCACACCCATTCTCAGACCGTACACACACACAGCCAGCGCCTTCTCTCACGCGTGCCGACAACTCCTGCCCCCCTGAGTCGGGCAAGGACTAGCACTGCACTCCCTGACAGCACACCTAGCCGCGCGCGGCCTGTCTGGCCGGGTGCGCCAGCTCCGCGGGCCGCGCGGTACCACACAGGCCGTCCGTATCACAAAACACAACGGAAGCTAGCGGGTCGGCGCGGCCGGCTCCTCACGAGCTGCTCGACTGGGGCCGGGGCGGCTCCCGCTCCCGGTTCCAGTCCTGCAGCCCCTTGGGCAGCTGGGTGTCCTCCTCGAACGAGCCGGTGCCCTCGACGAACTCCTCGTAGGTGGACTTCTCCTTGAAGGGGCGCGGCCCGAGGAGTTCGATCATGTCGTCTCGCGCCAGGATCTCCTTCTGGAGGAGACGCAGCGCCACCTGCGGAGAAGCACGGAGCACCAGGTGCGGGACGCATCGACCGAGAGCCTCCGGCCATCACTACCCGCGAACACGTCGCAGAGATCTTCTCTTGTCGCCCTTGAGGAAGTCTCAAAGGCGACACTCATCACAGACAACTCGTGCACCTCGACAGACGTACACCTTGTCTGTCGTACGCTCGTACACAGACAAGTTGTACACCTCGTACAACTCAGCTACTTATGGACAAAAAGCGTAAGCTTCAGGCGTCAAAACCTGTTTGTGCTTGAATGTATCAATGTGTTGGTCGTGCACCATAGCACAAGTGTGTCTCCATCCACACTGTCCAACGAACAGCAGCATCTCGAGACCAACTGTGGTTTGCAGCCGGTGGCGTGGCAGTCCTGTACACCCTGTATCGATGCCCGATCGCTGCGGGAGCACGGAATCAGCTCCGAAACGTCCGCGTCTCGGTAACGACACCGTCACCCTATCACACACAACGGCATCCTGCCGCTCACATCCGCAGATCCCTGGCCGCCACCGGGCCCGCCTGTCCAGCCGGACCGGTCACAGCGCCGCGGTGTATACCGCGCCACACCGCCCCGCCGCCACCCACCTTCTCGACGTCGTCCTTGTGCTTGGTGAGCAGCGCCATCGTCTTGTCGAAGGCGCTGGAGATGATGGAGCGCACCTCGCTGTCGATCAGCTGCGCCGTCTCCTCCGAGTACGGCTTGTCGATCACCATGTCGCCCGGCTGTGGCATCTCGAAGCTGACGTTGCCCACCCGCTCGTTCATGCCGAACTGGGTCACCTGGGCGTCACAAGTCACGAGAGTTCAGTGCCCGGTCACCCGCTGGGGTGGGAGCTGGTGCCTTACTTGCAGGACGTGGTGCGCCGGGCCGCAGTGTTGCCCTGTTGCCGATACCGTATCGTCGCAAAAAGGCTATCCACCAATCACACATGGGGCAGTTGCCTTCCATCAGCCACACCCAGACGACAGACTGGTTGACCAGGACCAGAACAGTCAGCTTTGCACACAGCGATGCCAATGAGACCAGCGACGGCACGCTGGGCACATGCGCCAGCAGACCACCGGCGCAAGGCTATCCGCTACAACGACCGGCGCAGCGTCAACCGCTGACGCCGATGTGGTGAGACATGATGCGACAACTATGCCGGCTGTCTGAAACTGCTTCTACTGAAAGCAATGACAGGCTACGATGCCAAACTACTCTTAAACGCGCACTGCACTGAAAAACCAGGGCTTCATTTGTCGGCGGTGCATGCGAAAAGCAAGCAATTATGCATCAGTACGTACGACACGACACTGTGGTGATTGACACCCTCTCCCCGCGCGCCCCTCCCAGGCCCAGGACCGGCCACGAGTCACCTCTCGCGCACGAGCCCGCGATTTCTGACCTGGGCGTAAGCGCTCTGCGTGACCTTCTTGAGGTCGTCCTGCGCGCCGGTGGTGATGCGGTTGAAGAAGATGTGCTCGGACACGCGGCCGCCCAGGGTCATGCACATGCGGTCCAGCAGCTGCTCCTTGGTGTAGAGATACTGCTCCCTGGGCAGGTACTGCGCGTAGCCCAGGCCCTTGCCGCGCGGGATGATGGATACCTGACAGGCGGCGGGTCCGTGTCACGTGCCGAACGTCACCATCATGGGGGAGTGGTCAGCGTGGCATTCGAAAGGTCACCGAAGCGTTGGCTGAAGACGGCTCAGACCGCCAGGCGGGTCGCCGGGGTAGACTGTTTTTTTTTCTGTGCTCAAATCTAGCCATCCTAGTGTCCTGTGTGCGCACAGCAATGCCAGTCCATCGCGTCGTCATAATATTTACGAATTTTTGTTATTACCAAGTTGATAAGCTATTAATACCAACACACCACCTCGGTAAAAACATACGATACATTGTCAAGACCTTCCCCTGGTACTGTGGTCATGGCCTTCCCGCCATCTGAAGCCGATAACGCTGGGCTACCGGCTCTGACGTCAGCCGACCAGGACACTGACCTTGAGCAGCGGGTCAGCATGCTCGAGGAACCAGCCGGCCACGGCGTGCCCGGCCTCGTGGTACGCCACCGTGCGCTTCTCGTCCGGCTGCAGCACCTGGCGGCGGCCGAGCGAAACACGTCACGCGGCCGGGAGCGGCGCTGGTGACGACAGGCTGGGCCAGAGCAGCCGCCACCGCCCGATCACACGGCCGCCCTCGACACGTCAGCCACTGGCGCACATGTGCTTTTCGTATCAGAATGTGAAGGACATTTTGCCATGAGAAGTACACGTCACAGCTCAGTAAAAAAAAAACGCCGTGCTCTCAGGACGTAAACGCGTCCGCCCCCGCGCGTCTGCGAGCGCTCGCCTGCGCCGCGTCCCGGCCGGGCAGGCGGCCGGCTCGTGCGCCGCGCCCACCTGCGTCTTCTTCTCCATGCCGGCCACCACGCGCTCGATGGCTTGCTCGAAATGCTTGAGCACGATGCTGTCGTTGAGGTCGCGAGCGGCGATCAGCGCCGCCTCGTTGCACACGTTGGCGATGTCGGCACCTGGCAGACGCGGTGGGGGACGCGTCAGGTGCTCGGACGGCCGACGCCGGCGTCCATCGTCCCCAGGATTCGCCAACCGCACGCAGTACAGCGGACGCCGTCCGGTCAGACGATATGTTGTGAGGAGTTGGAGTCCCACCCCAGCGCGGCATATACCGATCACAACACAGGGCACACAGAAAGGCCGGGGTTCGATGGACGCTCCGTGATCCGAGACTCGCTCCGTGACGTGTCCAGCAGCCCCGATCTCACAAAGACTGGCGCCAGATCAGTCCGGCGGATGAATCAGCGTAGACCGCATTCATTAGCAGCCTCGGGCTAGTGCAGCGCCGGCGCTCAGCCTCGGGCTAGTGCAGCGGCTGCCTACCGGTGAAGCCGGGCGTCAGCGCGGCCATCTTGCGGGCCAGCTCCTGCTTGTCCAGCTCCGTCTTCAGCTCCTTCAGGTGCACCTGCGGCGGCGCGGGGCGACCGGTGAAACGGAGCGCCGCCCCACTGCCGGGGGTCAATGTTCCCTATGCACGGGGGGCTGTTTTCGGACCGGCGGCGCATGCCGATGCCGTGCCCGCACCGGGGCAATGTGGTGGATGCTTGGCAATACAGAGCTGTCTTTGCCCTGAGACTGTTTCAATGAACCCTGAACTAGAGCACCGTTCGAACCGTTCCAAGGTGGACGGAAGGACGAACCATCGGACAGCGAACGGAAGGACCGGCCGCCGGACAGTGGACGGGATGACCCAGGCATCACCCTGATCCAACCGAATCGTCATCTAATCCAACATTATTTTAACCACCCGCAATTAGCGAACACCCCACCGAAATCCGCTCGGCTCACCCGAGGTTTCGTAGAGCAGCCAGCGGCAGGCTGTCGGCCGCCGCCCCCTAACCCACCTTGAAGATGGACGCCCTGCCCTTGATGTCGGGCGCCGGCACGTATATCTGCCGGTCGAATCTGCCGGGCCTCATGAGCGCGCTGTCCAGGATGTCCACCCGGTTGGTGGCCGCCAGCACCACCACGTTGGTGGTCGTGTTGAAACCTGCCGCGGGGCATGCGGAGTGAGACACGACCGCGTGCTTCTGGTCACCACACGGTAACACGGCCTCGGCGCAAGCTTCAGCGCAAGAGGCCATGTTTGTCTGACGCCGTGCTTTAAGCACTGCCTGCGCCATGCGATTGGGCAGGCAACTAAAAGTTGAAACGGCTTTCAAGGCCTTGACGCCCTCGACGTTCATTATTTACAGCGCCGTCGTGCCTCCCCCGGGACTTTCCGGTCCGAGCCGGCCACGTCACCACCGGAGACCAGCCTCCATCAAACAAGGCCGGCGGGGGAGCGCGCCCCGAGCCGAGCGCCGGGGAGCGGCGCGGCGACGCGCCACCCACCGTCCATCTCCACCAGCAGCTGGTTGAGCGTGTTCTCCTGCTCGGAGGCGCCGCCCAGGCTGCGGCCGCCTCGCTTCCGGCCCACCGCGTCAATCTCGTCGATGAAGAGGATGCACGGCGCGTGCTTGCGAGCTTGGGCGAACATGTCGCGCACCTGGAGACGGCAGCGAGCCGGGTAAAAGTGGCGGGACCGACAGACTGCGGCAAGCATCGGCAAGCTGTGTGTTTGGATAGCTGTAGGTGGAGCCTACACCCAGCCAAGTGCCGGCCATGGCACGTGAAGCTTGGGAAAAAAACTCCACCCGTATATGATACTAACAAGCCCGCAAAATACTCCTCCCGAATAAGCGCAACTCACAATTACCGACGCACTTTTCACACCAACATCACCCCATCCCAATTCGCCTCCATCGCCCTGGAGCCCAAACTACGCCTATCATGAGCCACATCCACGCTGCACCATGACCTGGCAGGCAGAGCGGCGCGCGCCACCGACCGGACACGCGCGCGCGCCACCGGCGCCAAGCAGAGTCGAGCCCGTACCCGGGAGGGGCCGACACCGACGAACATCTCGAGGAACTCGGAGCCAGAGACGCTGATGAAGGGCACAGCAGCCTCGCCGGCTGTCGCCTTGGCCAGCAGCGTCTTACCCGTACCAGGAGGGCCTGCAGACACGGACCAGAGGTCTCACACACAGTGAACATGCACACAAAAAACACGCACGGTGGCCTAACCACCCGGCTTCGATACTCCTCACCTCGGTTTCATCACAGTTCCATGTTCCATTGATGTCATAGCTTCATCGAACAAACTGATTATGAGGAACATCCGAGATTACAGTAAGAAAGCATAAAAGTTTGGTAGCAGAAGCCGGCCCTACCTGTGAGCATGGCTCCCTTGGGAATTTTGGCTCCCAGCTCCATGTACTGCTGCGGGTGCTTCAGGAAGTTGACAAACTCCATTATCTCAACTTTGGCCTCTTCACATCCAGCGACATCCCTGAAAACCACCACAAAACCAATAAAACCGAACGCGCACGTCAATGCAAATAATTCGCCAGTCGCTGAAGGCACTCGATAGTCATGATTTATCTTATGATTCAGTAACCCAAACGAGCCCTCAGGCTTCGGAAACACAGAATGACACTTCGCTCATAGACTGAACGAGTAAAGGCGAATGACGAGAATCGAAAGGCACCATGATTCAGTTTGACCCACGTACACTAATGTCACCACATCTCAACTGCAGCCCAGGCACTGATCACCGATGCGATTGACGCATGTCGCCTCCCAGCTGCTGCTCGCCCCAGCACGGACCTGAACTTGACGCCGATCTCTTCCGGGTTGATCAGCTTGGCCGTGGACTCCATGACGCCGCCAAACAGGCCGCCACCGCGCTTGCCGCCGGCGCCGCCGCCGCCGCCCATCATGGTCGCACCCCGTCGAAACATATAGACGGCGAAGCCTGGCGGGCGCGCCGGACGGGAGGGCGTCAGAGGCCGCGCGGCGGCCGACGACCGCGCCGGACGAGCGCACACGCGGCGCGCGTGCCAGGGTGGGCGAGCGCGACTGGGATCGGGCGCGACACAGCGTGCGGTCCCCACGTGGCCTCACGGGCACTCGCGCGCGCCGCGGTCACAAATCAGGCAGTCGCCGTGAGCGACAGCGGATCCAGCGAGGCGGTGCGGATTGGCCGGCGCAGCTCCCGAAACAGCGGGCGCGTCGAGCGCGAGCAGCGCGGCCGGGCAGCGCCCGCCGCAGTGACCTACCGAGTATGAGCAGCGTGGGTAGGAAGCTGAGCACGCTGCTGGCCTCCAGCTCCTGCTTGTAGACGACCGGCACGTAGTTGGGAGGCTCGATGCTCATCTCGGCTTGCACGTTCTCCAGATTGCGCTCGAACGCGTCCACCGAGCCGATGTTGAACCACAGCGTCGTCTGTCGGCGGACGCGTGGCTTTGGTCGGTCTATCGAGGGGCCGAGCATCGGTGCTGCTCGCTGACGCAGCAGGGCAAGCTATGACAAGAGGTCCGCTGCTTCCGAAAAGTGCTTTGCAATATTCCACGTGTAATCTATGTCTGGATTGCGTAAGGTGACTTGTCACAAATTAGCACAAACTGTGAACATGATGGATAAAGAGCACAGCACAACTCACGGCTCCCTCGATGTTGCTGCCAGGCTGTAGCCGCACGCGCACCCACTTCTTGTTGACAACCTCCAGCTTGTCAACCATGCCACGGCCCAAGTAGCTGCACAGAGGGGGCGCACGGGAAGACCGTGATCATACGCGCGTCCACAGCAAGCCAACTTAAACATTGGTGAAGAGCACTAACATGCGCAGCAAACAGACGCAACGCACAACGCGATGGTGGACACCGTCAAGCACACGCACGTTGGCGCCAGCGATACGTCTGCGTCCAGGCAAAAGTACATGATAATATGATGCATCTGTGTGATAGAGAACTTCCTGCTGGCACACCTTAAATTCAGTACACTCACACCTCGCGATTCCGACTCCTTGCGATTCAGACTCCTTCTACATGTCAAACAGAGGCACTACCCTGGAAGGCCAGTGCTGTTACAGGACCAGGGCAGGAAGGGCATTGCACTGCCCTTTTGGCTACCTGTCCACGCATCAGCCAAAACTAGGCCCAGGTATCCCGAATCGACACGCTGAATGCTGATCATGACGGACCTGTTGGAGAACTCCTTCCACGTGATCTCCTTGTAGCCGACGTCGTACATGGCGGCGCCCAGCGCCACCACCGTGCAGCCGGCCACCACATACAGCACCATGCGCGCCTGCTCGCTGCTGCCCTGGTCGCCGGGCTTGCCCCTGCCAAGCGGGCAAACGCCGCGTCACGGGCGACGGGCGCTGGCGCTATGGTGACGTAGTAACGGTACCCAGAATCTCGTTCATGTTGATCAGTGAACTAGGCTGTATGCTAGCAGCCTTTAGCCACACAGTCTGTATATCGTCGATCACACCACAATAACACACTGCAATCCAGCCAAAGTGTCTACCTATGCCCTTGGTAACGTGACGGCTGCCGAGTTTACCATATAGCCCCACTCACTTCATTCCTGGCCCGCCAAAGTTTATCTTGAACGACCACATGGGGTCCTTGGCGGCGTCTTTGCGGCCAGCACCGCCCCCGCCGCCGCTGCTGCGGGATGGTGGCGGCGGCGGAGGTGGCGCCTTGCCTTCCTTTCCAGCAGCCTCCTTGCCACCGCCATTCTTGGGCTTGAAATATTTCTCAAAGCCTTCAGGCGGCTTGCAGCGGCGCAGATGGCCACCCAGCAGTGCTTCGAACCGGGACGAGATGTGGGCAAGCGAGCGCCTGGATAGTGGCAGCTGAAGGCCAGCACAATGTCAGTGGCATGCTGATGTAGTACACCATGGTGCCCCTTGCCTGAAGCCATAAAATGCATGTGGAAACAACAAACTGGAATGCTTTAACAACAGCTGTTTGTTAGGTTTCTGCTAGTAATTGAACTAACATCACAGTGCAAGATATTTAACATCTCAGTATAAGATTTTCCCAAAGTACGTATTATTCTGCATTGCAGCCCCAATCAGACAAGACAACAACAATGCAATTACTTTAGCATTATATGTAATAAGAGAACAGCCCAGGTATAAGTTTGAATCTGAATGCCAAAATGAAATGCCCATCTTGATATGTTAATCTTTGGAGCACCCATGTTTGAATTCACCCACTTATTGTGTGGTGGGTTTGAGTGGCTTCAGGAATTTACTGTTTGTCCATAGCCAGGATGGCCAATGGCTAGTGGCACTAACACCAGTAAATATCTGGTAATATCAGAAGGCATGATGGACCATTGCAACCATTGTGGCACATTATGTTTTTGCCTCTAAATTCTGCAGTTGACCAAGAACTTGGATGGGGCAGTGTAGTTACAGTGCAGACCATGCATGCTGCTTCGCATAAGTGCTGATCCCAGCAATCCACCTAATCTTGACTGGAAAAATTATACTTTGCATGAATTTACATCTTGCACTGAATTAATTCACATTCTATCTGATGCATGAATTAACATTTTAGATTTCCACCTAAAATACATTCAACACTTAACCTGAGCAATCAATCACACCAAGCATTCCTGGTGTACCAACAATATCCTTGTAAGAATGTCAGTGTATGCACAGGATTAATCTCATAACCTCCCAGTTTGGTGCAACCAAATTCAGCACATACAGAGCCCATGTCTGCAGGAATGATAGGGTTGCTAAGATACATTTTAAGCAAGAATATCACAAAGTTATTAAGCAAAAAAACTTTGATGATGAGGTTCAGGAATTTTTTAGCTATTCATTGCACATGGTCATGCAGTGTTCAAAATGATTGGAAAATTATGTATAATTTTGCCTGGCCTGACTTTGATGCATGCTGAACACTCAGCTCAATGTCAGCTAGCCTCAGTGCAGTGGATGGCTTTGCTGCAGACAGGCATTGAACCATGCTGTTAGGAATGTTTTAAAAGGAAATATTTAATATGTTTAATCCTTTCAATCAACCCATACATTCTTTTATCAATTCAATCAGAACCATATCATTGTACAGCCTATCACATTGCAAACTGATTAGGCATTTATTACAACATTTAGAGTCCTGTGTCCTGGCAAAGTCACACAACAATGGTTATTACCAGCCATTAGTTCCTAGTTATCAGTCACTAAGCAAGTGTCATAAAAATGGAAGATGTCTTTTACAAAACCATATGGGTGGCAAGTAATTCTTAACTACCCTTACCCATCATGATGGATTGTATGCCACAAGAAGGACACCTCCCAGTACCACTCCAGAGACCAAAACTGCATCAAATCACAAAAAGTATGAAAGCCGCCTCCAAAAGGCTAATCACAACACTGGCTATGTAAACCAAAATTAAAGCAAAATAAAGGCATCAGCTGTTAAACCACATTTATGATCCGCATCAAACACATTAGGAGTGGTACTTACCATGTGCATCCCATCGCAAGGACTACGGGCAAACCCGCTCGTCCTGCATAACACGCGGCAAGTCCCCAGTATTCTGTAAGCCATCGTGCAGGGCCCCGTTGACAGGTTGAGAGCTACCGAGGCGATACTGTCTGTCTTTGGATTGGTTGCACACACTTCCTTTACATGGCACGAGACTAAAGAGCAGAAGCGATTGGGTTTTCTCTGCAAGCGCCCCACGCGTCACTCCCGTCCACTTCCCAACAACAGCACGCGACACACCCGCTGTTGTATAATGCAATGGTGTAATGGTAGGACCGACCAATCCTGACGAAATTTCGGCTCGCTCAAAGAACTGTCCTTCGTTCAGAGCAAGATGTTTTTATGCTGATATTCATTAAACAACAAATCATGATACACATTGTCCACAAATGGCAAATCAAAACTATGATATACATTTGCAGAAACTCTTCAACCTTTAATCGAACACCTTTTGCCTTCATATGGTAGCTTACACCTGCGGCTTCTTTTAAAAAAGCATGTGTTTAAGGAAATATGAAGGGAAAAGCCATTTTGACTCGCTTAAGTACCTCGCTTAATCACTTCATTACCCCGCGTTATAGGGGGTCCGAACCATATTTTTCGCGTTTGGCAATATAAACAGTTCCCAATATCCACAATCAAGTTTTCATCTGTGTCTGCCAGGGTACGGTGACTCGTCCTTATACCATTACATCATTCCGTCAATTTAGTTCCCGTAGTTTCGATGTTATATAAAACCATTACGTAGCTCTACAGTGCATACGCTTCTAGTCAGACACGGGTGAATTGGTACGACCATGTGGCACACTCACGCAACTGGCAACCCTCTTTGGAAATAAAGTTAATACTACGATTAACGCAAGCTTGGGTGGTGGGCCAATTTGACCCCCTCCCCGAATGTTTTCCAGAATGATTTCCGAACAGCGTAGCGTTGCAACGCCAAACTTCCCCTAGCTGTATGCAATGGAATAGCATATCTTTTAGCACACAAATTTTATGTCCTTTGTAAGTTTGCTGCCCCATGATAGCCCAACGTCAGAGCGTGACTGTCAGAGAAGGCCGTTTCTAGAGAATCGTTCAATCTGATGCGACAACGATGGTGTTAGACGAAGCCATACATTTTTCGAATAGTTTCTTCGGTAATGCACAAATTGAATTCAAAATTACACAGACATACGTTGACTCGCTATTCCGCATAGAGGTCAGGCAAATGTCAAAACTAACCTGCTTTTTACTCGAGGGCTTGCTTCATGGAAACGTTTCTGGTCGTCATCTCGAAGTTATCGATAACAGGGACCGACACAGACATTTTGCATGGACTTAAAGGCTTAGATAAGTTCACTGACCTAAAAGGGCCGGGGCCAAAACTTCGTTTTTAGGAGCATACCACCTAAAGTAATCCTGACCCTTCTTGAAATGACAGAATAGCAGCAATTTCGCAGTTTTTGGTCACATTAACCTTGTAAAGATTAAACAAAGTTACTGACCTTAAATTAACACCACTGACCTTTTGCTCAGGACAGGTAATGAGGTCTCCGGTGGGTGCATGAGAAAGTCCGTTGACAATTTGGACACCAATCTAGAGTTTGACTTTGTCTGACTTTATTTGACCTTAAGATCATGGCTAAGGAAGCTAAAAAATGTATTTAAGTAAGCTCACATACGGGTGAATCTACCCTGTTAATTTAGGATTACTAGCTACCTCACTTTCTCAGGGTCTCGAGATCTCAGGGGTTTATTGACCCCCCCCCCCTCCTCGAACGAAGGGCATACAACCGGCCAGCCGGGCACCTGTTCAGAGCGACAATGCATAACGCCGAGTATGTATGTATAAATATATACATATATATATATATATATTTATATACATAAAATCTACAAATCTGCATGCGTAGATAGGAATGAAGACACAGCACATCAGCACAGCACTCACTCTTGAACGCACCCGTGCTCCCTCGAGCCATACGTACTTTGTTTCCACGATTGGCGACATTGGCCGATCAGCTGGTCGTTCGCGTCGCCAAAATTCGCGTTGAACTGTTTGTCGCCCTGCGCGTGGAATATGTTTTTGCGCTGGTACGAAAATGCACTTATTGGTTGGTACGGGGGAGGGTTCTCAAGCGTCGGAGTCCTTCGGTAGCGGACCGAAGACAGGTCGCGATGGTGATGGAATGTATGCCGGAGTTTGCGGATTGTCCGCAAACCTTGTGCGGAGTTTTTTGCGCGGAGTGGAACGAGTGAGTGTTAAGTCAAGCAGAGAGCGTGAAGGAAGCATACATTAATACTCGCTAAGACTTGAGTTATCCTTATACCCGGACCTCTTCTTTGGCATTGCATTTGGTGCATAACACGATGGTATATCCATGTGGGCATAGCATTGCAATTATACATTCTATAAAGCATTTTACGGCGCGCTCCAGCTATTGAGGCTGGCTTGATAAGCGCCTGGCTGCCTACCACCTTTTCTCAATTCCGTTTCACTCCTTCAGTAAAACGTTTGAGGTGCATCAGCGAGGAGTGTCCACTCTCAGTCACCAACGATGACCCGATGATGACATGATGACAAAATGAAGACATGATGACCTGATGATGATATAACTCCCTTCGGGTAAGGGATACAACGTCGTAACTCTGCAGCATTGAAAGTAGGTGTGGAAAATGCAAAACGTGCAAAGATTTGCCCCGAATTTTCCTGGACTTTGCCCAACATGCCCGGAATTCCCTTTTCGGGAGAAGTGTGCTGTAGCAGCAGATGATAACGAGAGGAATTTTGTGTATGTTGTTTATAACGTTTAATGTTTAAACGATGTTAAATACTTGCAATGACTCCAACGCTCATAATGATGAACATTGTCCCTGTCTCGGTATTCATATCATATATTTTATGTTATATATATACATATGCATTACAAGCATGCTAATCACTTGTTGAGCGAGCCGGCGGCAGTTGGAGGGGATTTAGGGGGTCAAGAGGCGATTTAAACAAAAGAGGTCATAAGAGATGACGTATGTCGACTGATGAGGAACTTACCTGCATGATCCCACAATGACATCGTGCGCGCATGGTTGCAGCCCTCGGCACGAGTAAAATTATTTTAAATTCAACAGCGTACCATCACAAATTGCCACGCTGGCCGGCCCGCCAGGATTGGATAACATGCTGTCGCGGGGGGGGGGGGGTGACCAAATAAGCTGGAAGCCAGAACTTGAAAGTTTTTTTTCTAATTGGCAACCCATTACCAGGACTATCGAATGCACACAGTCCCGCCCTGTGCGCGCCATTGTAAGTATTTGTCCTCTGCCGTTTATTTGGTCATCGCTCCACCGGCGGGTCAGTGGCAATACGGAATGCACCGTCGAGGGATGATTTGAATAAATGAAAAGGTCATGTCTCTCGATGAGCAATTGACATTGCTGGCCTAACGTGCTTCACAATTTTGTTGTGTGCTCATGGTCATGGCCATGGCTCTCTGTGCGAGTAAACTTTTTCAAGTTGGACATTGTATCTTTGCAAAGTGTCGCTGCGGTCGACCCGCCGGCATTAAGGGACATGCTGTCGGGGGGGGGGGGGGGGGCCGACCGAACATGATGGAAAATAAAATCCATAGGTGTGTCGTTCTGCCAACTGCTAACATTATACACTCGTGACTTAGTATAAAACTGAATGAAATCCAATAAAAAAGCTGCAAAATTCACTATGCTTTGGCAGATATGTACTCTTGTTCCGGGGACATGACCTTCGACCCGGGGCCAAAACAAAAGTTATGGCCGGGGTGCGATTTCTGCGGGACCGAACTGGGTTGGGCACAGTAGATAACTGCGTACGCGCGAAAACGACCGCAGTGGAATAGTGCTTGCAAAAGACTTTCAAGATTAGTTTGTACCGCTCAAAGATATTACCTAGGATATATCTTACCTTAGTAACCTTGAGGATGTCCTCTGAACAGATTATGAGCTGATGTAAGCCAAACAAATGAGCTTTTTGTCCTATTCCAGTTTCACCACCAGATCCCAGTGCCAGTGAGCAGTGCTGTAAAGGGTAATCCGTTCCTATCATCATTCTAAGAGAAATTGCACAGATCAAACATACGCCAGGACTGCTTGTTAAATGCGCGAATTGACCTTTAAGAGGCACTTGCTGCAGATGCGTCATCATTTACTTTTCCCGTCGGTCACCGCGTAGTGTAATGTACAGAGCCGGCAACGCGCGGCCTACGGAGACTGTAACGCAGGGCGTCGGGGCTTTGATCCTACGATTTGTTAGCGCGCCTGTTCAAAAATTGTGCTGCACATTTTTCTCAGTAATCGATTCTGGCTGTGATCTGGACATTCCCAGACGAACATAGGCTGGTCATATTAATAAATATTTGTGATCTCGTTTCGATTGCCAATCTACGATCCCGGGTCCCCAATATCTCGGGAGAACCAAGGCAAAATTCTGGCAGAGCCTCTATGTTCTTTAGGTTAAGAAATAGTCCGCTGAACATTGCTAGATTAATTAACGCCGGCAAACTGTTTCATACAGACATTTCACGTTCGTAACCTCCAGTTCATCGACTTGAAAATACGAACAGGATGGCATCTTTCGGTAACTTCTGGCTTCCGTTCCAGTTACAAAAGGCAAAAATAAAACTAAAATGAAGGGAATCATGCCCCATCGCAATCAAGTTTACCATATCCAGTGTAATTTTTTTTTTTGGGGGGGGGGCGGGGAGTAGGACTTTCACAGTCATGTGGTCTTTGTTAACGCCATCCCCCCCCCCCCCCCCCCCCCCCCCTTACCAAGGCTATGACTGTGCCCGTCCTGCAGACTGCGCCGACTACATGGACTCAAAGTGGGCGTGATCGTAGATCGGATTAGCAGTTGCTTCGAGATATGGTAGGCACTACAAGAATGCTTAAACCTTGTCAGAATGATCCCAGCAGTATCTACACAGACCGGTGAGCACTCACGAGTCTGCCCAGATATCATTGTGTATCGGAGACCCTCCCAAGTGGCGAGGACCCCACTTCATGGCCAAGGCTATACGGGACTGCATGGGCCGTCATAGGATTCCACACAGGCTGACAGTAGCAGCCCTCTCATATGTAAGCTGTAGGGCAGAGGTGGCTGTCAAATCAACGAAGCGGTTTGTCGCGGACACCGTCTCTATTGACGGCCAGTTTAACAACTTCAGACCCAGCTGATCCCTGTTCCATTATCGGCATGCTCTGAACAGGGCCACTGGTATGTCACCAGTCGGGCTTCTGGGAAGAAAGCCACCGGACTTCCTTCCCAGCTCTGCTCTCTCATTTCCCATGACGACGCTCGCTCATGTGAGCAATACCTGGCAGGACCTGGCTGACTGGCGGAAGAACGCACTGTGAAAACGTACCTCCAAAGGTTAGGAGCGTTTAGGCGTCCACTCCAAAGACTTACCTGCCTTTAACAATTAAAAGGCCTGTCCTCAAACAGAGCCAGTCTCACACCCTCAAGCGGGACCGGAAGGGGCTGTAGTGGTGTTGCCTCACAATCAGTACCAAACCACGATGGACAGATCCAAGAAGATCACGGTACCGTACCGAAAATTTCTGCTGGTCTTCACTCCAGTCACATCCCGGAAGATCCAGCTCATGACCAGGGGCTCGAGGCAGCGCATAACCTGCAGCGACGCCGGGAGGTTAACCCAGCCTCCTCACGCTCAACGAGCTGAGGAACGGAAATACGGGGCATGGGAATCCTCCCAGGCCGGTGCAGGTAGTCCCCCCCCCCCCATGACGCCCTGACCTGTTGTGGTCGTACCCTAGTTAACCCCACCTGTGACGTCTCCCCTGGTACAGCGGCTAGCAGTGGACCCTGGGCCTGCTTACGCCCCTGCCGTGGTGCCGGCATCACCTCAGTCGTCCGACCAGCAGGGATAGATGTCTCAGCGGCCCGGCAGCCGCAGCTGGGTCATCTTCGCCCCGGCTGCTCCAGCACATACCCCGAAATGTGCAAGGCCGCCTACGGCTACCGCGACGACTGCTTCACCGAGGTCAACCAGAGCTGGCAGGAGCCAGACACCCCTTTACAGGTGCTCCTACGGCTACCGCGACGACTGCTTCACCGAGGTCAGCGGGAGCTGGCAGGAGCGAGACACACCTGTACAGGTGCTCCTACGGCTACCGCGACGACTGCTTCACCGAGGTCAACCAGAGCTGGCAGGAGCCAGACACCCCTTTACAGGTGCTCCTACGGCTACCGCGACGACTGCTTCACCGAGGTCAACCAGACCTGGCAGGAGCCAGACACCCCCGTATAGGTGTTATGTGCGCAACGTCAACTACGATCTCACCGACGAATTTGCGCTGCTGTTCACTGTCTGTAAAGCAGGTTCCAAAACCAGGAGTCGGATCCAGATCCTTCCAATCCGTGGGGTATAGCTGACTACTCACCATATGTGTGCCTCCTAACACTGTATTCTTATTTCGGGAGTTTCCTACACTTGTAGTAGATGCTATTATTTTACGGGCTGTGCGTTTAGAAAATATTACCCAGCCAAGAAGCAGCACCATTGGTAAAAAAGATAAGTAAACCCAAGTCGTTGAATCGAGTGGAAGGCCAACGTATTTATTATCAAGTCCATCTCCGTGGGCTGGAATTTCGAAACATCTTGCATGGAAATTGCTGAGATTTGTTGAGAACAGAACTTCTAGTGACGCGCTATATTTCGCAACAACACTCACGATATTAGACTGAACGGAGACATAACTAACAAGATGGAGCCGTCACCTGGGCGATAATAAAACAATATATCATGAGGAAGCACGGCTTAGTCTATGACCAAATATTTGGTTGAGCAATAACGGTATACACCGGGGACATGCACGAACCCAAAGCGGTATACATTTAAGGCACGTCTGGATGTGTGGTGCAGGCTCTCATGCCGACAGCGGCAAAACACCATTATGCTGTGATGTCCGAATGGATATATGCATATTGAGCGCTCTTGACACCGCTTCCCAAACTCCCAGATAAACAGCATATCCAAAAACGGCATAGCGATTGGCTATCGCACTCGACAGCAATGCATCCTGAAGCCCATGGAGCCACTGCTCCCCGTCGTATCCAGTTCGTGTCGATCCTTCCGAGGACTGGACGGCTGCCGCCTCTGCGTGGCGTGCACGGACAAGAGAGGACAGGTCAGGTCGGGGTCTGCGGCCGGCGAGACGTGCCTGTGACGGTCGCCGAGGTCACGCGCCTGACAGATCATTGGTCGCTGTCACTGTCATCGCGGTTCACCAGGTCCACCAGGTTTCGCTCAGCCTGGACCCTCTCCAGCACCTGGAACGGTGCGCACGCTCAGCAAGCGCCGCATGTCCCCACGATTGGAGAATCGTTTCCCACACGTTCACCTTGACAAGCTTGACATGTTTTTCAGCATGTCTTTTGACATAACCTCGTAACGACAAAAGCGGTTCCTGTTAGAGGGAGGATGGGGTCATATATGCAACATCTGTATGTAATATCAACCAACCCATAGCCCCAGGAGCCTATTCGAAACCCAAGTAGCTCATTACAAACGTGCCCCTTCTACCAGCCACACTTCACGCACAGACAGCACGTTGGCTCTGTGGTGCTTCACGACACCGAGCAAAGCCTGCGCCGACCTGGGGCGTGGCGATGCAGATCCTGTTCTCCACCGCAGGAGCCAGCCGCGCCGCCCGGCTCTCCAACTCCTCCACGTCGTGCTCCAGGCGGCGAGCCTTCAGCGAGCCCGCCACAGCCGGCTGGCTGAGCACGCCGAGCCCCCGCTGGAGCGCAGTCTGCCGACAGGCCACCAGCTGGCGCATGAGCTAATTACCGAACCGGTTACACCTGCTGGGTGATGACGGCACAACTCTGTTCAACTAAAAGGTTCAAAGAGCGCAGCATTATCTCGGTCGTTTCACCTGCTGCTTGCTTCCAACCTGTCGATGCACGCCGTGGATGTAAACATGCAGCAAGACAGGTGGAAGCTGAGACAATGGCCAAGCTAAAGAAATGACCAATGGCCAAGCAAAGCGGACGCCCAGTCCCCTCATACTGATGCCTATCTCCCTTAAACTACGCCCATCTACCTCAGACTGATGTTCATCTCCCTCAGAATGCCGCCTATCTCCCCCAGGCCGACACGCATCTCCCCAGACTGACGCCCCATCCGCTCCCCGCATGCCACCATGTCCCGGCTGACCGGCGCCTCCGCGTCGTCCGCGATGTTGTACAGCGCGTCCATGATGGTGTGCGGGGTGAGCGCGGTGGCCGCCTGCACCGAGTTCCTCCTCCGCACCGAAGACTCTGCCGGCGGCCAGTTTAGCACACAACGGACGGCGCAAGTCGCGCACGAATCAACCGTGACAATCGGACATCGCCAGTGCATGGCATGCACGTACAGATGTAGCCACGTGGCGGCACAATGCTGCAGGCGTTCCGCACATCAGGGATGTGCTGTAGTGGAGCCCTGAGGTGAGGGGCGAACTCCACCATCGCCGGTGTAATGAAGCGAACATTGAGTTCTTCTCGGTGTCTGTTCATTCCCTGCCGAGCAAACGAGCAAGGACGACGGAAAGGGCGGGGCCACCCCGCGGGGCTGCAGTCAGCTGCGCCCCAGCGACGCGAGGCCGCGCATGGCGCTGGGATGGTGGTCCCAGACGCTGACCTGGCGGCAGGTTGATGACGCTGGTGCTGCTTCGCCTGAGGAGGGTGGACTCTGGCCTCTTGAAGCCACTGAGCTCCATGGTACTCTTCAGTCGGCTGTTTCTAAAAGGACCGGTACATGGTTTCGCCTCAGACACAGTGTAACACACAGAATATACACAACAATTCCCAGGGGCTGACATAAGTTTGCGATCGAAAACCTGAAAAAGGATTAATCGTCCCAGACACGGTCGGCACGTCTCCTGGAACAGCAAGGCACGGTTATTGAGTATACTAGGCCAGCATAGACGCGGTTGAGAAGATCCACCAACAGGGGTGTAAACTGTTCTGGTTAGAAGCAAGGGGTAGCTGAGAAGACTTTCTTTCATGATGTTAAGCCAGCCAGTGCACTGGTTCCGTTGCCAATACTTCATGTTGTGATTAATATTATGCATTATCCTGTGTCTTTAAGCCGCATCTTTCCGTGCCCGCCGAAGAGCATCACATTATATTCTAGAAATTGCGAGCCTCCTGACCCCTCACCACCCATGTTTTGAACAGCCAGGCACAACTAGTCAACGGCCATCCAAAGACTACCTAGTGTACCCCACCTCCCAGTGAACAGGAGGGTTCCCCGGGGCCAGCCGCGGCCGAACGTCGGTCGGCTTACCTGCGAGACGTGGGCACAATGGACTGCCGGTGGGCGCTGAAGGCGGCCTGCGCGCCGCAGTAGCCACGCAGCCGGTTGATGGCGTCGAAGTGATTCAAGATGGCCGTTCTCAGAACAGGGCTGTTCTCAGCGTCTTGCTGCGGTGGCCATAGGCTGAGCGTCAGAGCGTTGCGATTGGAAATGGTTTCAGCAGGTTGAAATAAGCTGTATGTAGCATTCTGCAGCGGGATTAAATCAAATTGGCGTAGGGCCTTCAGTTGCAAATTATCCCATTGTCTTTACTGATTACACACCGATGGAAATGAAACAGTTTTATCCACGCGTGGAATCGTTGAAAACCTCACCAACACCACGGCCTCGGCCAGACAGGTGAATCCATCCTTGCCGTGGTGCATGTATTCCTTCGTGGCCAATTTGTACAGGTGGCCGGGCTGGACGAACACGTCCCCGACCTTGACGTACCTGGAAGAGGTTCGATGTCAAGAGCTATGCCACCAACGCAGACCGCGGGTGTCTGCTTACATTATTTTGTGAGGGCCCTGTCCCCCTCCCTCAATGTTGAGTTGGGGCCCCCCTATGTTGCCCTATACCCTGTGTTGGCTTGGTTCCTAATATTTTTGACTGGCATATTTAAAAACCGTAGGAAAAAAGTTGGCCATCACTCAAATACTATTTTCTTTGCTCATTCCTTGTAGTGGCGTCGACAGGGTAGGTGCATCAAACATGCAACATAAACCTGGCCCCGAAACCTCAAAATTATTCTCTCAAATGTAACGTAGCCATTGCATGATAAATCACTTTACCTTTGGAGTTACTTTTTCTGGTTTTTTTTTCATCAAACGTAACACCAGACGCTTAACTCCCTACCGCCCAACCATGATATTAACGCCACTATTGACCTATCTCGTACCAGTGATATTAACGTCACTTTTCACCGGTCAACATTTTGCCGGGCCCGATTTTAACTTGATTCTGTGCTGAACAGAATTTATTGCCAGGACTCTGAACCTTCTTCTGGAAGGCAAATCTACCACTACGCGGTTAGTCGCATCACGTATGCGGTCAGTATAATTTCAGCGCTTTAACGAATTTGGGACTCTGCCACGGTGATTGGTGACCCTGCGTGGAATTATGCGCTCTTTTTGCGAACATTTTAGGAGCTGAAGTCAACAGGTTTGAAGAAATGCGATGCCTGTGAGCTACCCCTTCACGAACTATGTTTGTCAAGAGCTTTCAATCGCCTGTGACCTAGAAAGGGTCACACGCAGTAACCCTCGTCCTGACTCGCTGTTTTTCATAACGCAGACCGATAGGGGGGGGGGGGGGGTCGATGCAACCGACTGGCGTTTCCACACTGATAAATATGGAGCTTAGTGGAAAAACATCCGTGGATGGGTCTCAACAATATCCCGCAATTGACAGTACTTATTACTGCTTTTAAGTCAATAACTGACCGTATTATGATAGGCTACACGTCAAATTTTCCTGAAAATCGCACTTTTCAGCTTTGCAATTATTATACATACGAGACAATGACTCGTGGCGACACAAAATCTTAAGAGGCGTGTTTTTTGTTGGATTTCGAAGACATTGGTTGTATCCCTATGTCTTCGGAGCATACTTTTATAATATATGGCTCTGTTAATGTAAAGATATCGGGCTCGCCGCGCCCGTCCCGCGGCGCCGTCGGCTGCCGCCCGCCGCCCGCCCCGGCCGTGGATCGCCGGAGAGCGTTCCTTAAAGTCGCCACTGCTCCGGATCTAGAAAAGCGACGAAAACATTTGTGGTGTCAAAACACTTGCAATGAAAGCCCCATACTGGCAATGTGGGCGCAATTGCACAACATGACGGAAAGGTATCCTCAAACACCTTGGGGTGGGGGGGGGGGAGGGGCTTACATCAAGCTTCCCGTTTCAAAGCGAGCATGGATAAATGAATCGACGTTATTCATCGAAACGGCGGTATTGCTTTGAAATTCATTGCGCATTATGGCACGCTGCAAGGGTAGTAATTGAGTTTCATCTGAAATCATGTGGTCGGATATTTTTTAGCCGTGTTCTTTTACCATGTTAGAGTATTCGACAATTTGTGAATGAATTAAACTTGTAGGCTTGAAAGGAGAAGTGCTTCGCCTTGTGCGTTTGATGTTTATACCATTCAATATCGCGAAATCTAAGGCATTTTAAAGTTGTTATACATCAAGTCAATGCTATTTTTAAGACCAGTCATTTATCACCTTGTTACGTAGAATTAACCCGGTGAAATTACATTAGCTTACATAATATAGCATACATATATTCTATGAACGCTTCCGCGACCCTGAGGGGCGCAACAGCGATTTACCACCACGCATGCCTGTGGCGGTCCGATTAATAGCACATCCACTTTTATACCACTTGTACAACAAACGCATCGTCACCGTTATTTGCACCGCAATTTTGCGTATCTTATTGAAACAGTTTGCTCCTAGTCTCAATCTCATACAACTCTTGGTCAACGTAAATTGTTCACTCTGAGTCGTTAAATATAATTGATTATGACCATGCTGTTGATCCCAATTGTTGATGCCATTACATAATTGAAGTGAAAAGGGGGGTACGGCACTAAGTTCTGACCAAGCTTTTGCACGCTGCTGATGTGTCACGGAAAAGCTATAACCTAAATAAAGCAGCACTGTTTTACACAGGGTTATTGTGGCCTTTACTTAAAAACAGAAAATGAAATTGGAGTAGGTTGTGCACTTTGGCCTAATGGTTTGGTCCCCAAACATCGTAACTTTGATCCGTTAATATAACCGCATATTTAACCCCCTACACACAAAACAAATGTTTGTTGTGTACAGCAGAGCACTTACCCACACCAGAACATCCCCACCCTCGTAATTAGAACTGGAATTTGCTCCCACCCCCAGATAAAAATCGTAGCTGCTGAGCGAATAATCGATGCGAAAACTTTAGACACATAGGGCCCTAAGAAGCGCAAAGAACGCAGAGCACTTGGGCAAGGCTGTCCCGCAAGGGTGCCGAAAACATGAGAGCTCTGTTGTGCATGGCATAATGTGTACACTTACCAAAAATGTCGCGGGATTGGACATGAAAAAATGCAAAAGCAAACCACCGCCAGCTGCCCTCTATCTCTACATACGACCAGTCGTATATTCTATTTCAAGGTGGATACAAATAACGACTTGCTCTTTCTCGTTTTGGACAGTAATTTGTCATCTTTATTTGACCAGTCGCCCTCTTACCTCTTGACGCGGTTCAAAATGTTAAGAGCACGAAGAAGCCAGTCACAGCATCCCCTGCACGTAAAATGATAACTCAAACATTTCGAGAGTTCCAAAAGAGCGCTCGAATAAATCCGCCGGATTACTCGAGCGGCGGGATCGAGCCGAGCGGTGAGCCGTCGGCACTGGTCAGACATCTCACCTGGAGTCGACCCTCTGACCGTGCTCCTTGTCCGGGCCGAAGCCGAGTGGTGAGCCGTCGGCACTGGTTACTCATCTCACCTGGCGTCGACCCTCTGACCGGGCTCCTTGTCCGGGTCGAAGCCGAGTGGTGAGCCGTCGGCACTGGTCGGACATCTCACCTGGCGTCGACCCTCTGACCGGGCTCCTTGTCCGGGTCGAAGCCAAGTGGTGAGCCGTCGGCACTGGTCGGACATCTTACCTGGCTTCGACCCTCTGACCGGGCTCATTATCCGGGTCGAAGCCGAGCAGTGAGTCGTCGGCACTGGTCAGACATCTCACCTGGCGTCGACCCTCTGACCGGGCTCCTTGTCCGGGTCAAAGACGAACGACAGGCCGGCCACCTGCGGGAACCGGCCGACCAGGCGCGGGTACATCGAGACGGCGTTCTCCAGCGCCTGATGCAGAGTGGCGCCTGCCGGCACCGCCTCCCGGGTCAGTGCCTGCGCTCGTGAGTGGACCCGGACGCCACATGGTGAGGCTGCGTGTGGCCTTGTGTGACGTTTGAGCGACACAAACTCACAACAGAAAGACAGCGCAAGACAGATGTTCGCACGAGCCGAGTTCACCACTATCGCAGTCACCGCATCAACAAAAGCCAAGATTATGCAAGCGTTGTGGGAGAGCCTGCTGAGGAGCTCCCATGGGTGTCTTGGACTGCCCTGCTGGGGCGCGGACATCCCCAGCCAGATCGTAGATGCCATTGGGTACGGAACAGGCTCCGACTGGGGCCCGCCTGCACGCGTCGCGGCGGCCGCAGTACCGCGTGGATCGACTTACGCGGCACGTGCTGCCGAGGAATCAGCCAGGTTTGGACGCAGCCGTGCTTGAGCAGCGTGGGAAACGAGGAGTCTTACGGCGGTGTCAACGCGTTACATGTTCGGCTCATAGAAAATCCCTCAAGCGCCACACGGCGACAAAAAGATAAGCGTATTGACAAAATAAGTAGGTGCAGCCCAAAAACAGTTTAATCGGGATCACCCAACAGCTAGATGCTACTTAGAGGGTTGCACTATTCTTACAGGCAACATTACCCTTAAACTAGTAGTTAAGACGTTTGTGTAAATTCTTCCGTCTTGATATACGCCCAAAAATACTTTGCAAAACGTCCACCGCAATACTTTTACACAACGAAACCGGCAAGGAGCGTGTTAGACTCCTGCATGCGTGGTGTGAATGTAGCGCCAAAAAGCAGACGTCAAAGTGACGTCACGGACAGTGGTGTGGTCACAGTTTTTCCAAGGCGTGGGCAAAGGGGTCACAGGAGGCCTTTCAGCAAAGGGTGGCTCTTTGCCGCTATCGGGGCCGTGCTGCTTTGGATCCAAAGACCTTGTTAGGTTCAGGATTCTATTTTGCTGTCTCGGGGCCTTTTTGTATGCTTTCGAGGCGTCACAGGTGTCTAAAACTGCCAAGAAGTACCGCGGTTGGGGCCATCGGGCCGGTCCTCGACACCTGCAGAGCGGAGGCAAGGCTCCACAAACCCCCACTCCTCGGCTACGCCACTGATTATGAATAACATCAGTCTACAGATTCAGCTCACGATTACAGCCAGAGCACGCAATCAGGAGCAACTGCAACATGAAAATGGGTACCTTAATCTGATATCTATCAACTGCGAGCCTTACGAGGTCACCAACGCATCGACGTACAGCTGGTATGGGTGCAAGCAGCTTCCTGCTAAACTACAGATGTTTGAACGACTGCACCGGATACCGAGGACTCGCTAGAATTCGCCACGGACAAATATTGAACAAAAGAGAAGCTAATTTTTGCCAGTTCTATGAAAACGTCACGCCAAACACCTTGTTGGTGTAATTTTGCAGAGTTCTGTAGCTTCCACAGTACATTTATGGGAACAAACAATAAATCTTGTAAAATCCTTTTCCCCCCGGCTTGTGGCATAACTTATCCAGGCTACAGAGTTTGGCAGCACCAATTCGCGATGCAAACGGGTCCCACAGCGCCCCGACCTCCGCAGGAACGTGCGCAGGATTTTGAAATGTGGCTTGAGTGGGAGGAGCGGTACAACTCAGATTTTCCACATACACAAAGTGTGCCTGCCTTGATTTTTTAGTATCAACATTTACTCACATCGATAGTACTGCATGTACAAATTTGATGAGGGAGGGGTGCCGCCCTGTATCCCTTGTATAAGCCGGTGGCTGCCCATCCCATCTGACTGTGTCCGGCTCAGCGCAAGTCGCCCCGGTCAGCGCGTCGTCGGTCGACCGACTCACCATTGACCTGAAGCAGCACCAGCCCGTCCATGAAGGGCGCGATGGTCACCAGGTCACGCATGGTGAAGTCGCCGGCCGGATGGACGCGGTCGCTGCGCAGGGTGCCCGAGTTGAGGATCACGCAGTCGGCGTTCATGGCGGCTGCAGCACAGGGGAGAAATTCTGGAGGCGGGGCGGCCACGCGGAGCGAACGGAGACGGCCCCATCGGCCGATGCGCCGTACCACTGCAGGTCAAATATCATGATGTTCCGGAGGGTTTTTAATTAATAACGCACAAATGTTGCTGAGTGTTACTCAGAAAAATGGAAATGAGATGGAAAAGTAGAAAACGTTTGAGTGATAATAATGCAGGCATGTGAGAAATCAAAACATTCATTTTTACGTAATCGTACAAACAAAGCAAAGATAACTGCGTCGTATGTTCGGCAACGTGCGCTACTCGACGGTCACGTCAATGTCAAAAATAAGTTATCGTTCACATGGTTCCGGGAGGACTTTGCTCTGACGAAGGCATGCACCGTATGGTGACCCTTCAGTGCGCTTTACGTCATTCCGCTGCACGGCGCCATCACTAGGAAAATTATTTATCGACACAGTACGCATTCGTGCTTGCCCTTCTGTCCGGACTGGACAATAACGAATACCATTACATAACACATTGACGCACACTGGAAAAAGAGCGCGAATGTTCTCAGCACCTTACCCAAAATTACATCGGAGCAGAAGTTGCCTAAGTTTGTTTCCTCCGTTCGTACTTTGCAGGAGCGCCCCTCCAGTGCCACCTCGAAGTGACCAATGACGTCATCCAGACGGGTTTCTGACATGTCTGTCAACAGCACCACCAATCTCGCCAAGCCCGATCGCACTGGTCGGTAGAAATCCTGTTACCGCATTTTTAATAAGACACTTTACCAGCAGCATTACGACATTCCTTTGATTGGGCGATTGATTATACAAATCATGTTCATTGTTAACAGGAAAATTGCGGATTCTTAGTGTCTCACTTTTTCCTCTCTTTTCTCTGCTCCTCCTCCTTTTATCAATCCACTCTTTCTCTTCCTCTCTCTCTCCCTCTCTCTGTCTCTCTCTCTCTCTCTCTCTCTCTCTCTCTCTCTCTCTCTCTCTCTCTCTCTCTCTCTCTCTCTCTCTCTCTCTCTCTCTCTCCTCTCTCTCTCTCTCTCTCTCTCTCTCTCTCTCTCTCTCTCTCTCTCTCTCTCTCGCTCTCATAACGTTACCTATGTAGTGCTGCAGTTGCTGCTTGAGCAGCGGGTCCTCGTCATACTTAGAAGTGACCTCGATTCTATCGACGTCGATCGTCCAGGTGCCGCCCGTCTGGCGCGACAGCCCCAGCACGGAGAACTCACGGAAGTCTGTGCCAGACTTCACCAGCAGGCGGTTCACCGTCTGAGGCGAGCAGGCCGCGGCAAGCAAGACAGCGAGCAAGCTAGTTAGCGTAAACCGAGACTAACCATAACATCAAACCGTCGCACATCGTGGCAGCGGCTTGTGCTGGGCAGAGTGACAGCTTGTATCGAGACAAACGTATTGAGCATGCCAGCTATGCGAGAGCAAGCGCACACTTACCACCTGAGGTTGGATCAGCGCACTCAAAAAGACAGAAATTTCATTTATCATCTCGACACGAACTCTACAATCAGACTCACACCTGCCAATCAAATTGACTCAAGACAAGCTAGAGTGGCTAAATACCTTTTAATGCAGCCTTATAGACCCCCTGTGTCACACATGACCCAGCTTGTTGCCGTGTCACGTGACCGCAATTCGGGTGCACGTGACAGCTGGTAATGAGCAGTCAGTGGGCCTCTCGATCTTGGCCCATCTCCAGGCTTGCTGGCCCACTCACCCGGTGGATCTCGTACTCGTGGTCGTGTCCGCCAAGGATCAGGTCAATGCCATCACCCTTCTCCAGAAGTCGCATGTCATTGGCTGTTCGCATATGGGTCAGGGCAATGACCAGATCGCAGCCCTGGGACAAGAAGAGAGCTCAGTAATTCTACGGGATAACACTTACGGTGATCAGCAAGGTAGAATGGCAACAAACAACCGCGAATGAAACCGTTTTCACCATATGCCTGAGTGGGTTTTTCACATTTGTGTGATCGTGCGGCAAAAGGTTTTTGATCCTTTGAGACACCGTGTTAAGTGTTATGTGAACCATGAAGCCAAAGTTCTCGGCCTGTTGGGGATTTACCTTTTACCGCACGATCTGTACGCACATCTTCCGAGAAAGAGGTACACGGGAGTTTTGAAGCATTTAGATAGCTTAGGTCAACGGCCTTACAAACCAACAACAAGTACAAAACACAAGCAAAATAGCAGGTACAATATCAACTTGACACTGCAATGAATAGTCCTGGAAATACGGTGTTTGCTCTTCATGTCAGCAAGCTGCATATGGTAAAAATAATAACACATTTGGGCCGGAATGATTCTTTAGGACCCCAGTCCCGAAATATAATTTTACCGACCGAGTGTGGAGTTATATAAGGTCCGATCAATGATCATTTACAAAGTGGTATCAGCGGAGGGAGGTGTCACCCAACGATGTCAGTTAAAAGTCTAATTATGACCGTCAAGTTGGCCGGACTGCGACGATGGACATCACGGTACAAGGTCTTCCCGTTCTCCGAAAGTCTCGCCATTGCAGGCATGGTCCAAAATCAACGGAAGTCACTATTAGCCCCTAGTGGCTATGGCGCAATAGGACATCTGCGTAATTACTTCCGCAACACAGGTCAAATAACTGTTATTGGTTCTCGTAGCAGACACTAAGCACTCAATCGCATCATCGCACTTGCACCGCCGTGGGATTAATGCTAAGTATTTGCTGATGTTAGCACAGGGAGGGGTGCTGTAGCTGCTATCTTAACTCTCCTCTTAACTCTTAACTTAACTTAACTCTCTCCTTAACCTACGCCACTGGTCGTGGCCGCCGATACGAACATTCAATGAAGTGATGGGTGGAGCCGCCTGGTGGCCAGCCAGACATTCAGCGGCCTAGCAGGCGCGCAATCGCGATTATCCAAGCTCACAGACCAGCGGGTGGTGGACCTGCTACCCTCTCCCTCGTTCCTGAACCCTTCATTCGCTTTTATTCGAAAACGGCACAGGCTCGAATATGCCTTGCTGATTTGGCATCGTTAATCGTACCGTTTTCATTACTTAAATTGATTTTAAGTTCCGTTCATTCCTATCGTTTCTATCCCAATCATTTCCTAATCGTTTCTAGACATTCTCAACTACTTCCATTAAAAAAAATGGCTCAGGCACAAAATCTGTCGTGACGTATTTTTCTTAAACCACACCGCTTCCTCCGTTCCAATCAATCTTCCGAAACTAAGGTGCTGAATACATCACCTCACTTCGAAGCTTGGCCGCTAGCCTGTTGCCCATGTCCACATAGTCGATGTAGTGCACTTCATCTGGGTTGACCGTCGACAGCGTCTCGAGCCACTCGTACTCCACCAGCCCCATCTGAGGACCGGTACACATGATCAGGCTATATCTCCGAGTAGTTGCAAGAGCCCTATCGTTTTGGCTCGCTCCGTTTTAATCTGCATTAAAGGCCAACTTCTAAAATTGCACTTATATCCCGTTACATGGGGAATGCCAAACCATTTCTCACGACAGGAATCGCGGCCTGCGAGGTTGGTTTCACCCGAACAATCGAAACAACCGTATTGGCCACACTGAACAATGGCGATCTTCGCCGCGTGCCTTCATGAAGGCGTTCATCTCCGCAGCGCAGACCTGCGGCCAGGCTCATTTTAACGGGTTAGGTGTCATGAAGATGGTTTAGGGCCGCTTTTTTCGATCGGGCCTATCTTTTACAGAATACCGTAATGATTGCCCATATAGCATATCGCAGCACAAATTTAATTCGCAACACCTGTAGTTGAAATTCTTTATGACTGTTGCCAGGAGTCGCAAAGAACTAAGGCCGTCAAAACTTAGCCTGTTCCAGCGTGGCGGCTCGTGTTATCGAAACCGCCACATTTCCTGTCAATGGACATTAAGCCAAGTTCGGCACACGGCCTTGCCTGTCGTCGGATTGCCAGTCACAAGAAATGGGACGCTGTCAGCGCTCATCGCACGGGCTCGCAAACGGACACACCCAATCAGGCATTCAGTTACTGCGCACATGTCCAATGTTCCACATGATCCCCGCTGCCGGCCGGCGGATGTGCCATGACGTCACAAACCATCGCACCAGAGCTAACGGATGCGACCCCCCTCCGGAGCACCACCCGCGCCGCCACCGCCCACGCCGCGACTCACGAAACCGAGCTTGAGCCCGTTCCAGCGGGTGATGTAGGTGATGCGGCCCTCGGCCAGCGGCCGCTGCGTCTCCTTGTTCCGCACGTTGGACAGCAGCCAGGGGAACGACGTCTCGGCGGTCAGAGACATGCAGGAGTCCAGGCCGAAGTCTGAAGCGCGGCACAGAGGTCAGCGCGCCCACCGGGCGATTGTGAGAAGTCAGCGTGTGTAGCGGGGCTCTGCAGAGCGAGAGGGGGAGCAGACGCGTGGCAGTGCAGTGAGCTGGATGAACAGTAATTAGTAAACTGTTATAGCCGCTTGAAAGTGTTCATGGTCTTACGTTATGACCGTAGCGGATCCGAGGATCTTAGTGAAATACTGCAGCCCAGGATCAATGACCTTAGGGTCACGAATTTCAACATTGGTGGCCGCCTTTGATAACACCTTGCTGGATTATGTTCATAGTGTTGGTGGTTACACTGGACGCTGTGGTCTCTGACTAACTTGTGGTTATATCAGCTTTTTGTGACTTCGAGTATCTGTCTGGTTTTTCGAAAGCCTTTTGCAAACTTCCCGAGCGGGCGCTCTGGACATGGGATGCGGTAAATCATTCACAAGGGATATAATATCAACAGTGTAACAATTAAACCGTTATTCTGCGGCGACACTGAAATCCAGGAAAGCTTACCGAAGTCGTGATTTCCATACACAGCAACGTGCACTTCTAGCCGGTTCAGCACGGGTATCATGTGCTCTCCTCGGGCAAAGGTGCTTACTGCAACAGCCGCCCATCAACGCCAGGCCACCAGAAAACCGGAAATTGCGAACACATGAAGAAGTTCCATTGCCGGGGACACTTTAAATGACACGTAAGTTTTGACAGCTTCTATTCACGATAACAGGAGATGGAGTGATATGGGAAACACAGCATATAGAAACAGAACAAACTGTACAAAAAGACATCGTTGGACACATCACATGTAAAGAAAGGCACAGCGTTGAACATCCATAAGCGATTGAATGCACATAAATACAAACACTGCAATTGGGCACACAAAAATACAACAATTAATCCTCTCAAGCTATCGAACAATGCACCACAGATGTTCCTAAAACTGCATCAGGCCTGTTCGGATGAGAATGCCCCTGACCTGAGGACACGTTCGATATACGGATACCGGCATATATATATATATATATATATATATATATATATATATATATATATATATATATATATACAGCAATAAACGGGCCCATCTCACTAGTCATTTCAAAATACATAGATACGCACATCGTGCGAAAGGATACCACCTGGAAAGTAAAAATCGGAAAGCTTCTCACAAAACTACCATGTGTTCAGCTAGGGACAGTGCAACGTTAAGAAGCCCATCAATTCCCAGCGAAACTGTTTATCCGTTCCCAATGTTCGGCGCCGACATCAGTCCCGCAGATCACGTGTCGGATGCAGGCTCGCTTACATAGACTGGGGCTGAAGATGTCGCCACTAAAGATGACCATGGGGTTCAGGTGCTTGTACTGCTCCACTGCCGTGACAAAGCGTGCCGCCCCTCCCACCTGCCAGCACGTATGCATGCACATGTGACAGGACAGCGCGTCACTCGGTGATAAGCTGGTGAGCAGTGCCGGTGATATCTGCTGCCAGTGACCGCCAAGCGAAAATCCCAACCTGAATGGTCCAGGCACCGTTAATGTTGTTTCAGCAAAGCACGTATTCTTTGAATGGGACGACAGTCCACTGTAATGCATTCCAGCCAATCGTCAACACCCTGCATATTAATTTCCGCTATGTGTGGCGATGTGGCGATGCTTCCCCCGCTATGTTCTGGCATTTCATAGACCATGTCAAGATAATTTACTATACACAACATTCATATATATATATATATATATATATATATATATAGTAAGTTATTTATAGACAGATACAAAAATTTGACTATGTTTTTTCTTTCCCCTCTCTTTTTGCGATATCATATCGCGCCTGTAATTCAATGCGTGAGCATGAAAACATTTCTGAAGTAGCCATCCCTCTAAATTACAAATAGAAAAAACATGTACGATGTACCCAAATAAGACACTAAATCCATAAAGCAATGGATCACTTTCCAAGACCATGGACTAACCGGTTCCTGCATTCCTGCCTCGATGTTGTAGACATCGTTGAAGTGGACGATGGTCAGCCGGCCGCTGTCCAATGAAATCATTCTGCGAAATCCCTCCAGGAGGACTGAAATGGACGTTTAACATATTTGTAATTTAAGCTCGCTGTGCGATTATTGCACCATATTGACGACATTTAAGCTAAACGTTGCCACAGCAAACAACGCGGTTTTCAGCACCATAAAAAGTCGCTGGTCAGGTAGCACTTGAACATTTTTTTTTCCGTTAGCAACCATTCACCCCACGGAGAATGTAATTTACCGCTCCGGTTTCTATCCCGCACGCCCTTAGGGGCTCACTCCTTGATAACCATCTTCCCAAGTGTTGGCTGGAATGAATTTGAGGGTACGATGAGTTGGCAGGTTTCATAGCATAACGCATCGCAATCATACGTTACAGCAATCATAAGCTGATCACAAAGTACTCTGTTCCAGGGAGTTCCAGACAATGCTAAATCAGTATCATACGCCCACCAGCTCGTCTTATACTCCGCCTTATTAACAAGGTTGTATATAAATGGAAAGCAGCAGATAAGGGAACATTTTGCGATCAGATTACCACGGCTATTCACAACTTTGCGCTGGACACCACCTAATATTTGTAGCAGCAAAACGTTGTACGTTGACCAATATGAATATTTCAACACGAACCGCTCAACATTACCTTCATAGATGTAGTCCAACATATCCCTGCAGCCCTCGATATATCCCTGCATATCCCTGCATACCCCCCTTATCACCTCCATTTTGAGATTTGGGGTTTTGCGACAAGGTCAATAATTCATGTACCAGTGTTGGCCATTGGTGTGTGCTTATTTAAGGTGGACGACATTAAAATTTCCGTGATCAAGGGACACAACACACTGTATGATTTAAGGTTCCAGAAGGCCGACATGAAATAAATGAAATAAAAGCGCCAAGTTATGCGAAATGTAATCGTTCGTTGCATATCTGTTTTGGCACGTGATGTAGAGCATTGTTCTCTCCCATGCTGTAAAGCTTCGCTGCGATTCAGCTGATTTGTGTAAAATACCGTGTTTGAATCTGAAGTCTTTTGCGGGATAAACCGGCTCGCTTTAGAAAAGCGCAAACCCACAGGCGTTCTAACTCCTAAAAAAAACTAAGAAAACTTGCGCATAACTGGTCCATTCATCAATCGCCCAGCGAGTAAAGGTGTCTCGTTTGTACCAGGAAACACCAGAGACAATGCTAGAGATCTGCAGCACTCGTTCATTGTAGCTGACGTCAGGCCGACATGCGAGCTTGCATGTAGCTGACGTCAACTGGAGCTTCAGCTGCAGGCCGGGCGCCATCAATTCTCCAGTTAAGCAGAAGTGCTCCATGAGTGTGCTCAGTGTTGGGTCGAAAAGTCACCGCCTTTTTTCTTATTAATCCCACCCTTGGAAGGACGGTTGGCATAGCACTCACCAGACATATCCAGTCTAAACAGGACAACTATCATCCCTATCAACGAAGTTTCCAGTGCACCGAACCTTACCTTCACCCTCACCCTCACCCTCACCGTTTTCCTCAATGTTAGCACCGAGTGAAAAGCGAAACCATCCCACCGTCTGTGACCTGACTGTCTCGCTGCCCGTCCAGCGGTCGACTGGTGCTCCGCCCGGCCTGGCGCCCACCGCCGGCTTCCGCTCCCCCTCGAGGGCAGCTGACGGTGCAATCTCTTGCACGCCGACGCTAATCATGTTCAGTGCCGCGCCGCCAGCGCCACCGATCGGCCCACGTCAAGGTCAATGACCGTTCCCGCAGGTCGGCCTGACCCAGAGCCTGTGCCACCGCCATGTAAATTTGACCGTTGCGTAATGATCGCCGAAGGCCATGCGGGCGCTGCGAAGTCGGCATGAGCCCTCAGATCTGCAGTTTCTGACTATCTGACCACAGTTCCGGCGCTCGCTGTTTCCGTTTAGGAACAACCTTGGCCCATCTGAGGTTTCCAAAGCTGGCTGTTCCTCGTGCTTTCCAAGGCGCCTTTTGCGTCCAAATATCTTGTGTAGTCCATGACCACGGGCCAGCATCAAGCTATCAGCTAATCTTAGACCAATGTTGGTGTGATAACGTCTTAACATAGGGCCACAGGTTCAGTGATTCGCCCAGATCTTGAGGGTATTTGCTTGCACAGTCTCACTGGATGCTTAGGCTTGGTCCAGGCTCTGGCCATCCCGAAATCTTCAGTTTTGGTCCAGCCTTTCTTTCAAAAATCACTTTTGAAATCTGCCAGGGGGGGGGGGGAGGAGCTGAACGGGTAAGGCTGACACAACCCACCTTCAAAACCTGATCTCGCCCGAAATTCGGCGACTTTAATTCCGTCCCGATAGGAAAACTAAAAAGCTTTTAAGAGTAAGGCATATCGTATATTCCAGAATAGGTCTGCTGTGGAGGAATGTCTTCCAAATTAAGAGCGATGTGAGACCGCGTTTTGTGAAAAGTTTGGAAATGGGTGTTATCAGCACAAAAATATCTTAGCGTCAAGCCCTCGTCATCATCGAAATGATTGCCTTCATTGTTTAGCGAAGGTGGTCCGAAGCACAACAAGACGGATCTATGTAAAACGGCTTGGCTTGACATGAACGGAAGAGAGTCTATTGAAAATGTTCGAGCACATTGCAACGATTTAGTAAACATGACAGTAAATCTGAATTTCCACAAATTCCTCAACAAACATGTCGATGAGTGGAGGGGCAAAACAGGTGAAGACCGGTGACCAAATGGGTCTCCAGAGTGGCCGCCTTAAAAATGGCGCGGCCAACACCATGAAATGTGATGGAAGCTGATATAAACACGAGAGGTGTTGTATCTTGTTAGTTAGGTATTATAAGTTGGTTGTTTTCGTGTTGAAAATGATCGGCCGTCAGTATACCGGGAGGTAGGGTTATATGACGCTCTAAAAAAACGCTGCTTTTATTGAGGAAACCCGACGCTTCGAAGCCGTGCTCAAGGTCAGATTTCTTTGCTTGAGTCAATGAATGACACCTAAGTATTTCTTTTATTCTGGACTACAGCGCACTTAATGCGTTAATTCTAGACCTTAACACCCTTTGTGTGGTACACGCCGGCGGTCCTTTTAAGCCGAGCTGCATTTCAAACCATCCTGTCCGAAATGCACTTAAGCTCGTCCCGACAGCCCAGTTAAGTTTAGGATCGCCTGCCTTCCGACTGACCCACCAGCCGCGAGGTGGGTTCCAGTCTCACTTCAGACCTGCGCTGTTTACCCTTGACTCTGAAAGCCTGCGGTCTGTGGCAGCGGGCGCGCTGACGTTCGGGTAACGTCAGAGGACAGAACAGGGCGTGCCGAGCATTGCGACACGATGCGCTTTCGCCGCAAAGTTCTGCTGTTGATCCAGAATTTTACGATCGGATCAGTGCTCATCAAGCGAGCACTGTTTCACATTGGCGTTCATTACAGAAATACATCCAATAGGAAGGTTTGGGAAAAAAATATCGAGCAGAGGAGTCATAGCAAGTTGAAATAAACAGATCATGTTTATTTGAAACTACCGCGTATGCAAAGTCGCCCAGGCAAACCTTAGCTTACGTTTTGCTGAAAAGTGACTGGTGTGTTTCTATCACAATCATGACTAGAGTGACTTTTGAATAGCTGCTCAATTAGAAAACGTGATAAAAAAGGAGCGGTAGTCATCATTGATTCAAAATTTGTCAAATCGTGACTATAGAAGACGCCAATTTGAGGACGAGAGCGAGCAAATTGTTAATACCACCTCAGAGCGCCACATTGCCACCGTTCTGGCTAAGACCGCATTCAGTCTTAAGGTCGGGTGCAGCACTGCAGACGATCGGCCGCGCAATCGACTATCAGCATGCAGGTTCAGCTGTTCCTGTGTGTGTGTGTGTGTGGTGTGTGTGTGTGTGTGTGTGTGGTGTGTGTGTGTGTGTGTGTGTGTGTGTGTGTGTGTGTGTGTGTGTGTGTGTGTGTGTGTGTGTGTGTGTGTGTGTGTGTGTGTGTGTGTGTGTGTGGTGTGTGTGTGTGTGTGTGTGTGTGTGTGTGTGTGTGTGTGTGTGTGTGGTGTGTGTGTGTGTGTGTGGTGTGTGTGTGTGTGTGTGTGTGTGTGTGTGTGTGTGTGTGTGTGTGTGTGTGTGTGTGTGTGTGTGTGTGTGTGTGTGTGTGTGTGTGTGTGTGTGTGTGTGTGTGTGTGGGTGTGTGTGTGTGTGTGTGTGTGTGTGTGTGTGTGTGTGTGTGTGTGTGGTGTGTGTGTGTGTGTTGTGTGTGTGGTGTGTGTGTGTGTGTTATTGGGGCTTCACGACGCACTCAGCTGCTGAGGCTATATGGCGTCGCCTGCCTCTCACCCCGGCAGGAAGGGCGGGCACCGCGGGGAATCGAACGTTTCTGATCCTCCAGAGGCTCATGTGGAACATCTTTTGTTTTCGCGATTTGATAGGATAGGTGTGAGGCAGGGGTGTAGTTTTACAAAATGAGTTGAAGAGGCTGTAGAGTAAAAATAATCCAGTGTACCCCTAAAAGACACCAACAAACAGGTTTCTTCCCAGGTTCAGCCCACGTCCTTTCAAAGATGGGGGGGGGGGGGGGGAGCCCAAGTCGGAGGGAAGGGACTGAAGCCCCTCCATCCACATGAAACGAAACTGCAACTCTGATCTGGAATTAATGTCTTCCGCTGTTCACTGATTGTGTTTTCGTATTTCATTGGATCAAATACCACCACAGAGATGTTTGTGCCACAAGTCCACTTGCTTTTTTGGACGAAACTTGAGTTAACGTTTATCTGGGCTACCCTAAACTTTCAAAAGCTGCCGCACATTGCAGGCAAATGTTCTTTACACCAATACAGATATCATCATGTGAAAAACTTGTCGAATATTTTTAGACTGCCCAGCCATTTGGAGGGGCTGGCATAACAAGTACGTAAGTATCTACAGAATATTATTTGGCATAAAGTAAACATGATACTAATAATGATGTGTCTAGGTACCAAGTGTACCAATAGTCAGGACAATCTGTTCCACATTTTTTGACCCAGTATTCTCCCTTTGCTCGCATTCATTGGGGCGGTTCAGAGCAGCGTTTGGGGAGGGCAAA